ACAGCAATGCCTCACTTAAACCTGTTTGATAATTTCGACGGCATCCATTTGGCAAACGAAAAATGCGCAACCCATCTACAACTAACCAAAACATATTCTTTAATTTTTACATCATAGTTGGCTAAGGTCTTACTTAATCAACCATATGGTTTTCTTGGTACCTGCGATGAAAAAAGGCAGAAGTATAGGGCATATTGCTGTCAATGACAGTTAAGGACATAACAGAAAATTGGAACACGCCCTATATCTCGGTCGGTAATAAAAATATCGCAAATGTTTCTCAAAAATCGAACCCTCGACGTGCAAGTCCATTTTGCTTTATCTAGTGCAGAAAAGGGCTAATGCTCAATGAAGATGGTCAATGCCTACTGCTTGAGATGCTTTTCCAAGATGTATGAATTTTGCTGATATTCCATTCACAAGGTCCAAAGTTAAAGTGAAAAATGGTCGAAAAATTCGACGCAGCTAACACTTAAGGCTGGTCCCTGATCGATCTCTAAATTGTATGACTATTTCAGCTTGGTCGGATTATCGGGGATCTGTCTAACCAAGTCCTACTTGTACTTAACCTCCGAGTTGATGTTAACGTGGATTCGGCGCCGAGTTAAGTTGATAAACCTGCCCTTAATCGTGCACGTATAGCGTCCGTGTAGATTAAATCCGATCGCAGGCGAACTTGGAATCCAAACAGGCGCGATTAGAATACAAACACACGTCAATTTATCAATGGTTATTTACGAACTCGAAATGAGATTTTACGGACGGATTAACCTTTATTACATCGACGGACAATACGAAATATTTTGGGACGCGGCCAAATCGTCAGTGTGAGAGCCCGTTCGCCCGCACCAATAATAAATATATAAAAACGAATTGTTATCGGCGAGTAAGTAGCACTGGAAACTGGCAGTTCTCAGGAAACGTTCGAATTAGCCGTTTTCGTTTGACTTTTACATTCGTCATTTAATAGGGCAACGCGTGTTATTTTTCAAACCCAAACTTAATCTGTATATGCGAATCGACAATAAACGTTCGGGAATAAATAATAATATCAATAATAAATGGCTTTATTGGTAAACTTTGGTAAATATTAAAATTTGTACCGGTAATTGCGATTTAAAATTAATGTTTTGAAGCCATGCAGTGCGTCGTAATAGTGACGTTCACCCATTTCGATATTTTGAACAGCGGATGTGATAGAAGAAAACCGTAAATACAAAAATTTAAGCTCTCGATGTGGCCTATAACACTATTTAAACCAATTAACCTTTTTTTTTTAGGAATTTTGATTTACGGCTAAAACTTGACCATGGAAAAGAACAATCTATTTCATAACAATGTTCAAAAAACATTCGAAAATCTAAACAAAAAAGATGGACGCCAAAGTCTGATCAAAACCATTTTTACTGGTTTATGTGTCCTGTGGGCTGTTTAAAGAGCTCAAACGATTCGATAGTTATGGCGATTTAATGTCCCATCGACAGGGAAACGGAGAACAGAAAATTTAAAAAAATATGTAAATTTTGATTCGCATCAATATTGTGAAATTGCGCAGAATGTTAAAATCTAATTTTTCAAAATGGATGAAATCCGTAAAATCATTTGTGGCTCTCGGAAATCTTGGTTAAATCTGTATAATTTGATAGTGGTGTGCCTAAAATTTATTACAAAAAGAAAAAGAAAACATCCTAAATAAAAATCTTTCAGTAAAATAAAGTTATCGTCAGGGTTCTACGAAAACCTAGAATCTTCAATCTTCGGTAAAAATAATTATACGACATAATCATCCTTTGAAAAAACTGACAGGTTGACGTTAAATGTGATCCATTTCGAACGTTCAAGCCAGTTGCGAAGTAAATTACGAAAAGTTTTAAATCGGCTTGAGCCACCCCGTTGCAACGAGTGTATCTATATACGCGGAGACGTTGACTTCTGAAACTGATCTTCCTTTGGTCTTTTTATGTGTTCTTTGTCAGGGGCACACATGCACGGGTCTATTTTTAAACGACGCTCCGAATAGTCTTAAATCTTGTAAAAACTGCACGCGACAGAGAAACGCAGCGGGTCCGGGTCTCTGTCTAACCACGAAAAGTAATTAATGACAAAAATAAAAGGGCAGTTGTTAATGAACAACAATAACGATAATAATAATGAAAAGCCTTTTTGAAGATCGGATAAATCGATTTTTTAAATTTATTTATAGGCATGGAAATCTAATATCTATAAGATTTTTTCATCCTTTCAACAAAACATTAACAAATGAAATGTAAAAACGATTTAAAATATATACATTTTTCCAAATTTTAAAAATTTTCGAATATTTCAATGGGTATAGTTTGTTCATAGATATAAGGAAGTGACGAATTGCTTTTGAATGGGATTATCCAAGAGTGTCATTAACATACAATGCAACGAGATTATTACCTAAAGTTTCGGAATTTAAATTCAGGTAAAATTGTGGTCCGCAATAGAAAATAATTTTATACCTACCTGTGTTTAATATTCTTTGATTTGGTATACTACTTAATTTAAGTTTATTAGTAATCATTCTTATTTCGTGTGTTGAATCGTGTGCGAATTATGCAAAATATGTGCGAGTCTAGTGTATCTCGGGGGATGTTCCCGCCCAAATGTAGAAAACACTATTCTATTGAGACTAAGGAAGTTATAAACAATGTTTATTTGATTCTCATTGAACGTCTTTAGAAGAAACGGCTATATTGACGAAAATTCCAACATCAACTGTATGGAAAATCGTGAATAATAATTTTAAGTAATTTAAGTAGGTAATAAACATTATTTGTAATTTTATTTTAGATTTAAACATAAATACATACATAAATAAATAAATATTGTTTCATATCTTTCCTAACAAAACCCCAAATAATTAAATTCTAAGCAAAGTACGGACCTGTTCAGCCATATTTCGTTCTTACAGCTTGTCCGGGTCTTCCCTTTTCCTTTTTCGTCACTTTTTTATATCTATGAACAGACTTTACCTTCCATTAAAGGTAACCACCCTTCTTTATATGGTCGGTCATTTTATACACACCCCAAAAACTTAATCTTGTCTCCCTCACTCTTGAAAATTGAAAATTTTCAATTTAATTTTATTGTGTTTCGGGAACAATTTCTGTGAGTTGGTTTCGAACGGTTTCTGGTTATTGCTGAAAGTCACGCCACAAACTTACATTATTTTATTAAATACTAGGCACCGATTAAATTCTGTAAAGCTCTATGACTCTCTGAGCTTTTTAGTGCCTTTCTGGCAATAAGAGACAGAAAACTTAAATCACGTGCGTTAAAAAAAGATACCTATCCATTCGTGGAGTCCTAAGTCCCGCTTTTGAGGAGGTAGAGGAAAAGTAATACCGTAATAGGCTCAGCTAAGCGAAACAGCTTATGAAGTATATAAGTGCGTACCTTGAACGCTGAGAGCGAATCCTTTCTCAACCAAATACTTCTCGAAGTTTGCTTTGCTTGATTTTGATGAAAGAGAAATACACCAAAAGATTTAAAATTAATAGTACAATGCATATATGTTATGCGTACCTTCGAAGCAATTGGTTATCTATAAATACCTGGTAAATACATAATGGGAAACTAGCCTGGGTTTTTACCCGATTTGGTTAGTTGTTAGTTGGTTAATAATAAAATGTTTTTTTAAAGAATTTTTTTTTATATTTTTTAACAGTTGGAACAGTTACAGTTGAATACATTAACACATATTACATACTCAAATCTAAATAGCTTAGTTGAATTTTAAACTTACTCGCTCAGCCTGCATTGGTTCTTGGCCGACTTGAAAATAGCAGTTGATTTTAGATTGGTCCTTTTCTTTGCATTTTATTCACATTCGCAAATTTGTAACGCTTCTAAGAGTATTTGCAACAGATTTAATCTCGTTAATGTCACACATTACACATTACAAGACGCGAGAAGATGAATTTTTAATGAAAATAAATTTCTAACAGATCAAATTTCTGACTTGGAAATAAATACAAGAAAAAGGCGAAAAAATGAGGTAAGGATGATGATGATGGGATTTACGTATCGTCTAAATACAAACGGCACATCGCTAGAAGCGATAAATGTTAAACTCGAAATGCACCCGAACGAACTAATGCGAATCAAAAATATTTAACTTCAGAGAAACTCGGGCAGATTTTTGTAACATTGATTTGGTTTCTTCAATTTTCTAACAGCACACGGCAGCATTAGTGCAAGTGCATTTTTTTTAAATCTCATAAAGGATTGGACTAAACGTGAATAAATTAAAGGGGAACTTTGCGCCGTTTTCTTATTAAATAGCTATCTTCACACACTTAACTCGTTTTTCACAACATTGAACGAGATCTGGGCATATTTCGCGAAAAAAGAAGAATCCAAACTTATTGACGATCCGTCAGCGGCCATACGGTTAACGCTAAAGGATAAAAAGACTAAAGATAACATCGCACAAGTTATTCAAACTTCTCCGTAAACGGAAACAACATCAGGTCCGCAGATGTGTTCCATCCTACTTAACACAAACAAACGCGTACGCTGTAAACATGACGTTGTTTTTTGTTTACCAAATTAAATAACGCGTACGTTGCAAATTTCTACCGATCTAGTTGGCGCAATGATATGTTCGGAAACGATTTATTATTTTGTCCACTCAAATTCTGCCAAGCGTTTGATCTCGGGCTCCGGCGACTTTGATCATGACCGTCGGCGAAAACCAAACCCAACAACGCCAAAAAGTCGACCGCTGGAAAAATGATTTAAAACTAATGCTGCCGAAAATCCGCTAAAAATAACTTGAAATCTAATTAAAACACCTAGTAATGAGAGTCGAGTCGCCTACTCCAACGCACGGCAGACAAACACGCATCGTTTATTCGAGATTAAAATCAAAACGACAGCGGGCAAACGATCTTTTGTTTGTGTTTTCGGAATTTATAACCTCAAACCATTAAACTTGTGCGTCGCCCGTATCGAATGTCGCCTTCACTTACCGGGTAGTACATGCCCTGAGGAGGAAGAAAAAATGCCCCGGCACCCCACAGTTTGACTGCAGTTTAAAAACAGTTCACAAGAAGAGAAACACTGCACAAGGCAAAAGTTTGGACGCTCGTTCGGTGACCGATCTGAGCCTTTTACATACGCGTTTTGATCTACGGCTATTGCGGATAAATTTAAAACAAAGAAACACCGCCCGTGGTATACACGACAACAACGCCGTTTCTTGACAATCAACTACCCTGGCCTGGTATCAGGCGGCGGAGGGGCACATGCTCGAGTTTAGCAGCCTGGCGGCACAGGCGACTCAACAAAACGGTGGGGGTAACAATCAATGAACATGAGATCGCGCGCATCTCGCAGGCAGGATAGCTTTGCGGTGGTAAGGATGCCAGTAAATTGGTCACAACGGACGATTGTTCTTTTAATGTTAAAACCACGCTGCCGGAGCAACAGGGCGTGGCGTTTGGCGTGGGTTGCGATCAGACATATTCTATAACGGTTTATGATTAACAAAAAACGTTACTACGACGCAGGGTTACATTGGAATAAGTACGCGGGCCTCTTGTGGCATCCCGATTTGGCATTTTTCGTGACCACTTAAACTTTTAATTGTATCAATACTTCGTGAATGTCACTTCTGTTTACTGTCAAACCTATCCGTCCACGGCCCTCTATAAAAAATGAAACCAATGAAATGGGCACCTTACTTGGCCAGTTGACTTGAGTCGCGAAATCGTAAAAAGAGATAGACGCAAAGCGTAACCTCGTCCTCCCAAATAGGAAATTTCTTCTCTTTAAAAAAAAAACATAAATTTAAATAAAGATGGAGTGTCGAAGCGACAACGCACATACTAATATGCACCGATGCACCGACAGTTTTTGGAAGCAGAGATCGAAGATAAAGCTTTGAAACGCGAGATAACAGATTATAATAACCAATAGATTAAATAGAAGAGAAGTAGTTGTGTTTGAAATGATCGCATCCTATGGCAAAAAATTAAACCTAAAATCCCAAGGACAAAATCACCTCGACCTTGACAGTGACCAGACACAAAAGCTTTAGAAAACAGCTTAATTGTCAAACTCCATCTCTTTCCGCACGCGCAAGCGTACTCTAATTAGTTCCCTACAACATTGTACAAAACTTATAAACTATATAAGCAGAGCAATTAACTGCCTATTCCATTACGATATAATACTTTGGCATATAACTTTCTACTTCCGTTATAGCATTGATAAATTTAGGCATGAAATTAAATCAATAAAATATTTACTTCTTTCATATTTTGTTTCACAAATATGCGCTTTTCTTGTTGCAAATTGTATTTGTAAAATGTAATTTTCAAATCCATATGCCTAGATAATTTTATGGCACGATGGCGATTTAACAAAACAGTTAAAATACCGAGACGCGCAGTGATTGCTTAAAATCAAAAATCATACCCATATATTACAATTCAACAGTTCCCACTCGAAGTCGAGCTGTAGCTTCATAAGATATTTGTTGATATCTTCCGTCGACATATTTGTTTCCTCGAAGATTTTTTTAAAAACTTGCACTTGCATAGAGTGCTGTGGCGAGTCCGCAGGTTTTAAGTTTAAATTCGTTTTAACGGTAGTGCCAACTATAACGCATGGAATATTTGGAATAACAAAAAGGAACAATAATCAGAACTTGGTTATTTATTATTGTATAATTCTCTATAGTAACAATTATGGTGATGCTGATTCTTGCCACGGTTTAATGAAGCAAATTATTTTTACACCGAAAATTACATTTTTTGCGTGCATACCTTCTTATTATGCAATTAATTATCGCACATGAATTTCATTGCCAGAGACGTGTTGAAACGCGTGCGCACAGGCGCTTATCGATCGCGTCGCACGTTGTAAAGAAAAAATTAGGATTAACATGAAAGGCACATATTATTTTATGGGCGGCGCACTTTTATTTATAACGTGCTGTTTGTTGGTAGCATTTGCTGATCAACAAAAGGTTACCTACTCCTTCACCGAATTTCCCTATAAAGAAACGAACAAAAATGTACGTTGTAACAGCGATATTTTTATTAGATTGTTTTATTTTATCAGTATCGATCGATTTCAGGAGATCATGTACAGAGAAATAGAGGCCGCTTGCGAAAGAGGATGTTTGGGTAGAAATAGAGTATCGAAAGTGCTTTGCATTAGGCAGTGTATATCGCCATCTTGCTACCGAGACTTGTATCAATCAGATTTGGTAATAACTACATAAAATAATTATTAACCTCCTATGTCTAAATAATATGAATTGTTTTTCTTTTTTTTAGCTGGAAGAGGGAGAGGTAGATGTAAGATTCAACTCATTCAAAGGATGTTTTATTCAACGTTATAACAGATCTAGACTCTAACAAATCAACATGAGTACAATATTACGCAATTGTTAACAAGTCAAAATATCAAAACCAATACCAAAAAGTAACAAGTCAAACCAGTTTAACATATGGTATGTTTGAACTACTCTCTACATTGAAAACAAATTGAACCCTTTCAAATAATACCTTTCATACCGAGAGGATGATACATTCGAATTACTGACTACATTAGGACTTTTACAATATTATGAAAGTGATATTTTACGCTTCTTACACAGCTTAGAATAATCGAGAGAGCAAATGACCTTCAGACTACATTTGTAAAGTGACAGATGAATTGAATATGGAAAACTTAGGGATCACATTTGTGCTATGGAAAATTAAAACCAAAATTCAATCAAAAGTAGTTTCTAAATATATATCCTAAAACCTTTTAGCCGACAACACATTATGTACAAAGTTTAAAAACTAACTTTTTACATATCACATTTAAATGAATGTTTATCAAAAACACCTATAAATTTTGTTATTAAGTATGAATTGGCTACATTTATATACAATACTTAAGACATCAGAAAGACGCAAAATGGTTTTAATTAACTTGCCGATAATGCCGTCCGCACTCATACTTTTAATGCCACAACCCTTTATATTCTGTCACAATTATATTCCAATGTTTAGTATTGACTAAAAGATTGATAAAAGAAGACAGTTTCTTTCACCAACTGTCAAGATAAACGGTTTTAGCAACTAATGCAAAATAAAGTACATACAGCTGATGTTCTCAATATATTAATTAAATGTAATTTACTGTAAGGGGCAAAATTGATACAATAAAAAAATTCATAGTGTTAAAAATCATGGCTCCACAAACTAGCCAGTCTTCTTGGCACATTTCTGAACTTACCTGAATGTGGTTTTCATTATGAAATCTATTTTTTATTTGGAAAAAAGTATTAATAGTTGTTAGTGACACTCATTGTGGTACATTTGAACTACCGGCCTAAATTAGAAATCTGTACTGTAGGACTACACGCATGCACATGTTTGCCAATTTAAAAAAACATGTGCATTGAATTTATATAATTTAATGCGAATTATTTTGTTACCTATAGAATTTGTTACTTCAGACTGCACTAACATGCACCGAATGGTAATTCGTGTCATTGCCCGGTAAATCCGTCAGACCGTCGTTTATGGATGTTAGTTCAACTGGCTGCTCCCCCTGAGGCACGCTCTTTTTATGTTTTTTCGACAGGCCGGGAAGTTTAGGCAAATGCTTCAGTGCAGATCCTTTGCTTTTCCCTTTGTCTATATCTTCTTGCTCTTCCGTGATCGAATCCAACGGCACTTCTTGCTGCTGCTGCTGCTGATTGTCTTGAATCGGAATATCATCTAAAAAATATATATGTTTCAGCAACTCCAGAATCCCTACCGGAAAAAAATTAACCTGGCAGTTTTTTCGTCCTGAATGATGCATTTGTTATCATTGATTTGGATATGCTGTGGGTATGAGAGGGTTTAGGGGCCACAGACACTGTCGGAGAACTTTCCAACAGATTTTTAATAGCACTACCCGTTAATAAGACCTCTAAAAAAATCATTATGGCATGTAAACGACTGAAGTGGCAAAATTTATGAATTACTAAAAATTTTTCAATAACTGGAACTTACCTGAATATGTTTCATACGTAGCTCTTAAAATAATATCGTGAAGAGCTTGCACTGCTCCACTTGCACATCGTTCGGCCCCATGGTAAACTATGTGCAACAGTTCAATCAGTAACGGGCTTGAAACTTGAATTCGTGGAAGAATACTTAATGGCTGTTGGAAGCTACACTCGCTAGCACTAGTAATGGAACTCCTCGCGCTGCCCGAACTACTACAGTTAAATCCTTGAGTTACTAACCTAGAAATACCCCTGCAAGTGAACTCAATGCCCTGAGTGACAACATTTGCAATTTGCTGATTGTAAAGGAATAACAAGGCAGTAACGACTCTCTGCCTGTTCTGTGCATTTAGACAGTCCACCTGAGGCAGGGGCCCCCAGTTCACTAATTTTGTATTACACTCCTCCCACCTGCGTAAAGAACTTTCTGCAATGAATGCGGGTTCTAGTGTACTAGAATCATGATAAATGGAGGACTGCACTATGCTGGGTATTCTAAAGGACAATGTACGCGGTTGACCCTTGGAATCTACAACCTAATAAATTAAAACGACAAAAAAAAATCTTAATTAATTGGTATGAATACTAACCTCAAGGTTATACAAGCTAACTAATAATGTTTGAACAGCAGAAAATGATCTGTCTGATAAGTGTAGGAATACAAGCACCGGTATATACTGAATGGCAAATTTTCGTAAATGAGGCTCGCCGGATCTGTAAAAATTTAATAGCTGCTGACAGACTCCGTCTATTAACTGCAATAATTTCCACATAAGTTTAGAAGAGGATGTAAATTAATATACCTACATTATCCGATTTGTATTTGTGCGGTTCCGTAAGGACATTATAGAGAGCTACCATTACTTCGTAGTTATGTTCTTGTTCGGTTGAATATGTATGTATTTCGCTTTCTGTTAAAGACTCAAATTCATCCATCCATTCAAAAACCAAAGCGTAAGCCATGATAATACGTATGATGGAATTTAAAAGCGAATTAACAAACTGGTCCTCTTAATGCCGCGCGTGCACAATACCCGAAGCATAAGCGCAAACGGAAAACTGAAAAATTTATCTGAAAACCCAATGTTCCAAAACAAACTTTAAATGACCGACAAAGATAAATGACAAATCTTATTGAAAAAGGAAAAAACAATTCTAGCCTCTTCTTTCTTTTCCAAAACTCAATTTACAAAGGTCATTTGCCCATTTCGGAATAATTCAAAATTAATATATATGATATGTGATATATCAAACAACTACCCGAATATTCCGAAAAAACGTTTTTTGAATTATTTTGTTAATTGTTCGCTTTTATTATTCGGGTTAAAGTTGAACATTATTTAAGCTGTGCTTGTAACCAGTTTGATCTTAGCACTCGAGGCAAGCAGAACGAAGAGTTTTTTTTTAAATATCAAACTTATTCTGTGGTGGAACATTGCACGCGGCGGTTTAACCTCCGTTCGTTCCCTACAGAATCCGTTGTATCGTCCAAAAATTTTGAAATCGGTCTCCACTGAGTAGATTTAGTGTTTTCAGTGTTTTGTGAACGTTGTAAAGTGATAATCGTCGCCGATCCCTTCGTTTTTCCCCGTTCACGCCGGTATAGAGGTCGGATGGGCCCGGATGGTCCGAGGCGGAAGCGGGGGATGTCGGTTTTTTTTTGGTATCGGTCAAATTTGTTTTTTTGCTAGTTGAGCAAATATTGGTTATGTCTTCTTTGTACGTGTTGATCCATGACCAAAAGCGAAGATCCTCGACGGAAGTCGGCAATGGGCGAATGATCCTAGCAGTTTTGCCCAACATTTTTTTGTGAAACGCATACTTGGAATATCAAACATTAACCTAAATTGTACATAAAATCCCGACGTATTTAATTTTGTTTTATTTTATTTAGCAGACTATTTATCACAACATGGCTCTTTTGTCTGGTATTTGTTTAGTATGTTAAATATTAAATATAGTGTCAGACAAGTAAACGATTCAAAGCAGTACAACTGTGCGGTTTTAAAATGTCTTCTGATAGCGATGAAGAATTTTACCCCATTGTACGTTTTGTGAGACTGTATTCTGAAATACCTATTGGCTCATTATATATTCCCACGCAAATTATAGGACTATTCAGCATCAGACATGATTTATACAGATCCCCGTTTAGTTTCCGGCCTGTTGAAGGCAGTGTTGGACGAAGACATATGTAGAATTAAATGCGTGCTTGCTCAAGGCAGATCCGTAAATGTGAATGATAACAATGGTAACACCGCTCTTCATCTAGCGACGATAAGAAATTTGTAAGTCGACACATTTTTGTTATTAACGTTAATAATCTTGATATTTTAAGTTTAGGCCAGAAATTATAGATTTTTTACTGTCAGTTGACAATATTAATGTGAATGCAAGGAATGTTTGGGGCCAAACGCCCTTATATATAGCAGTAAGGCAGACATTTTCCGATATTGCAGCAAAGCTGATTCAAGCCAATGCAAATGTAAATTTGCCTAGTTGGGAAGATGTAACTCCTTTACATTTGGCTACCGCTAACCCGCAACTAGCTTTAGTTCTAATAAAAAATGGTGCACACATTAATGCACAAGATTATAGTGGCGAAACACCTTTACACGAAGCTGTGTCAAGAGGGCATCTAGAAACTGTTTGTATGCTCTTATATTTTAACGCGGATGCAAACATAACTTGCGAAAATAACCTAAACCCCTTCATGAGATCATTGCTTAATGGTCATCACGGCATTCAGTCAGTGTTAATTGAGTACGTTTCAGATTTTAATACAACTGCTATAGACGGTTGGACTACTTTAGATATAGCGATAACTCATAATACTCCATATCTCGAAGAAATTATTCGCAGAGGTGCTGATATCAACTATAAACATCCGGAATTAAATGCTTTTCAAATGTGCTGCTCCTTACCAAATGAGAAAAATTTTCGACTTATTTGGAATAAATTTGAGTATCAAAAGCTCTCCGATGATACAAGTTACTGGGGCAGTATCGTAAACATCGACGACATGAATATGGTGCATGCGTATGCATGTATAATAATTGATACAGGAAATGTAAAACCGTTTGTTGAAGAGTCAAAATTCTTACCGGAACTTGGCTTCCTCTACGTTTTAGAACCCGCACAAAAACAAGATTGGGCAACTACTCTTCCCAAATTTGTTTATTTACTATTAAGCTACGGTGTTATTCCAAATAGCACACATATGGACACGATTTTCCAGAATTTCCCTCATTGCGAATTATTTTACACCATGTTACATATGGATGTTTCTATCACAGGGACTTCCATGACATTTGCAAGGCTTATTTATGATTGTTCTTTGACAGTGGATAAATTCATTGAAAAGATCCAAGAGCAAGTAGCAATTAAAGGGGTTGCGTTTTATGAGGCAGAACTTAAGCAGCTTGCTATTCATCTGAGGCATCCAATATTACATAATCTTCTGGGCTTAACTCCACAAATACCATCCCTCCTTGAATTAACAAGAAATAAAATTAGAGAATACTTTTATAGCCACGGCTTAAAAAGTTCCAAAGAATTTTACTCTGTCATTAATTGGCTACCAGCACCGAAAATATGCAAAGAAATTTTATCATTCAAGAGGCCAATATATCTCGAAACCTGGTAATTGTTAGATTATGACACGTTCTGTCTTATTTGCTTAATGTTTCCAATAAAATCTTCAAATACTTTGTTTTTGCAGTCAGTGTACATTTTTCCGTTGGGCATGTTTATTGGGGCCACACGCTCCCTCGGGAGGATAGTTAAAATCGCGATTTTTTTTTTAACTAATTTCTTGCGAGTGACCTAACCAACTCGAACACGTTTCATGTCTTTTTTTATATTGACCGATCAAAAGCTGAATCCGCGTGAAAGAAATATCCGAAAAATATGGTTATCAAGTGGCACTATTCTCTCCAAATAGACAATAACAAGCAGTAATATGATTCTTTGTTTTCGGCTTTTCCATACTCTGTAGAGAAATGAACATTAATGTTCTGTGGGTGCAATAATCTTTGTCGAATATGTTAACCTATTCATTGTTAAATCAATTTCGGAAAGTGGATTAATCGTAAAACTAAATCTAAACAAGATGGCTTTTAACTTTTCTGCTTTGGCATACATAATAGCTTTGATTGTGGACGCGTTTTTGATCTTTTTCTCACTTTTCCACGTAATCGCGTTTGATGAACTGAAAACGGATTACAAAAACCCGATTGATCAGTGCAATAGCTTAAACCCTGTAAGTTATAGTGACCATTTAACCAATAATTACTTAAATATATTTTAATTGCAGCTCGTTTTACCAGAATATATCCTGCATATAATATTCAACGTATTGTTTGCGATAGCGGGGGAATGGCTATCCTTGTGTGTTAACATTCCCTTAATCGCGTACCACATAAATAGATACAGGACGAGGCCAGTAATGTCCGGTTACGGCATTTATGACCCCACTAGCATTATGAATGCTGATGTACTAACAAGGTGTCAAAGGGAGGGATGGATTAAGCTAGCATTTTATTTGCTCTCATTTTTCTATTACCTCTATGGGTATGTGATAGCTTTAGAAACGGCAAATTTAGAGCACACGTAACTGACACTTAAGTATTCAATTTTTGAAGTTTTATTGTATTGTTGGTGTCTATTCCGTAACTTTCGATATTTAGAGCAAATGTTACAGAATTCAAATGAAATTGTTGAAGTTGTAGAACAGACGCCTCCACAGGGATATTGACACTAGAACCGAAATCCCTGACTAAATGAACATCTTTCTGTTGCAGAATGATTTACTCGTTAATATCGTCCTAGTGGATGTCTGGCAAATGTGAGCCCCAAGAACAGAAAGATAAGCCAGTGAAACATGGGATTTCGATTCTGTTGTCACAATTAATTTGTTAAGCGTTAAGAATTCTCCTCAAGAGTGATGTAAAATTCATATTCATTTAATGTTTGAACCATGCCTACTCCAGTACATCATAAGCAATGTTTAATATTAGGGATATTGAATTGTAAATAAAGACTTACCTAGACTAATTAATGTTTTATTTAAATAAGACAATGCTTTTGTAAAAATTTGAAGCGATATATACAAAATTTAAATTATACAATTTGGAATGTATGTACAGAGTGAACTTCCAGTGTAAAATGTAGGAACCAGTTATCCTAAATTATAACAAAATAATAATGACTAAAAGAAAAAACTGCTTCAAAAATCTAATGAGAAATTGTTCTTAACCTTGTGTTTTTAGAATAACTAATTCCCGAGCTTAGACAATAACCATTCTTCCGTCAAGTCTTCCAGTTCTCGAACTTCATAGGCTCGAGAAACATCTGCTTCTTTTTGAAGAGCTATTTTAGAGCCAGCGTACATCATCTGCAGTTCAGCATGACTGTCTCTAGGCGTAAAAAATATAAAACACAAGGGGTATGACACCCGCCCATCTTTGTGTTCTTGTTTATAAGATAATATAATGTATCTTGGTTGATGACTCGCAAGGCTTTCCTGCAAGTCTTCAATGGTCGTGTCTTCGAGAGTGTCATCAATTACTATTTGCTGTTTTTCTCGGTCTACTTTCACTAAAAATAAAACGTTACTTGATTGTCGAAACGAAAAATTAAAATTCATCCTACACACAAGCGCCCTGGTATATTGGGCCTTGCTGAACCGAAACTCCTTCAACGCTTGTTTTACTTCCGAAGTAATTTCGCAGATATTTACTTGACCCGACTAAAAGAGCAAAGTTTTAAGCACCAATCCCTTGAGAACTGCAAATTTATATCTATTTACCATTTTCTGACATGTAATTTCTATCCATCCGTTCCTGTCGTCATAGATAATTGTCTATTATGACTAATTCGTGATCTGAGCATAGCGAAAGGAAAATGCTGAAGTGCACATCTCTAAATTAAAATTATTTGAACAATTTTCCCTGTAGATGTAATTAAAATTAATCAATTTTTTTTTGTTTGAGAAGAACCTTAATTTGTTCACTTTCGCTAATTCTCTGCAAAGCGCCAGCTTTAGTTCACTGTCGTCCATTGATCTTACATTATAAAATTCTAAAAATAGGAAGAAGACAAATAAAGAAACCACAAATTAAAGTAACACTTTTTGAAAATTTTTGATACCATCCCGTAGTCCTAAGTTTATACACACTATAATTCAAGTCGATATTTGGATTTAGTTTGTGTGATTTAAAATGCCTGGCCGTACATGTGCCGTAGCTGGTTGCAGAAACAATCAGCTAATTTTAAAAAGAAATGGTGCGCGAAAAGTCATCTTTCACAATTTCCCTGCCGCAAGGGACGTACCCTCACACGCGGCACAAAAGGAATGGATTTTCCGATGCAATAGAGCAGATAAATTTAATGTTAAAAATTCATGGGTGTGTTCAGATCATTTTAATGAAGAAGACTACGAGCGTGACCTTAAAAACGAGTTGTTAGGTTTGCCTTTAAGGAGGAAATTAAAAAAGAACGCATATCCCACACTAAAACTACAACTTGGTAGCAAAAACACAGTCGACAAAATCAAGGATCAAATTGATAAGAGTAATAGTGATCGAGATTCAGCACATGAAGATGATACCAATATGACACAAGAAATCGAGTTGGGCTTAGTGGATTCTATGAGGGAAGAGTAAGAAATTTTTCATTTATGTGTTATGGTAGTGGAAAACAGCCAATCGGTTTTTATGAAATTTTGACGTCCTACAACAAAAGTGTCAGTCAATTGTTAGAGATTTACATTTTTAATGGTTCTAAACAATGCATAATAAAATCCTTGATTTCAAATTTAAATTTCCAACGGTTATTAAATCTACTTAATTCATTTATAAGTCTTCTAAGAGGTAATATATTATATCATGTAGGTTCCAAATATTGGCTACCCGTACTTATCTATTCACTATAGTTCTAGTAGTATGCAGGGTTTAAAGTGACTTTATTATGTGACTTGTTTTAATCTGACTCTACCACTTTAAATTTGTATCCGTTTATAGTTTTTGCTTCTAAAATTTGTTCATTTAAATTTTTAACCAAAACACTTTTAAAAACATATAAATAGCCAATGAAAAAGCCATATTCTGTAGCACTTTCACCACTTTTTTTAACTTTTTTTCAATTGAGTGTGTAAAATGAGACTATTTTTTTTTAGGTTCTCTGGGTCAGATTTTTAATTCTTTCTAATGCCATTATTATGGTGGAAATGTTTGTGGTTAGTGAGGAATCACTTTAATGTTGCGACATGGAGAGATAGCACCATAAGTTTCTAGCTTCTGGAAACTCCACCCATGGAAATTCCTAAGTAAAGTTTGGTGAAATTTTTTGGAGGCTACCAATTCAACATTGGCAATCAAAACACTTGGTTAATAAATAAGAACTATTTTATTTCTATCATTTTATCCATATAAATTCCCAGGAAATTCTTGATCGGAGAGGTTGTCATCTTCGTGTTCAGATTCTGGGTCTTTTCGCTTCCTACCGTACGCCCGTTTGCTGGTCATGGGTAATACATCCGTTTCGCCGTGCAGTAAGGAATTCCTATATAAAAGCAGAGGCTGCCAATCCTCACCCCGACTGCTGGGCATACCTAAAACGATAATAATTTTTAACGTTCCATGATAATTTCACTTAAAAGTTGTCCGTCACCTGTGGTAATTCTCCGATCCAAGAACGTCATTACGACTTTCTTGTCTTGCTTCAAAAGTTTGTTCGTGAATTCGGTTAGTATTTCCAAAAACGGAAGGTTTGGGGGCGGGCCGGTGGGGTCGTCCGCATTTTCGGCACCCATGACCGCGAATAGTATACCGGCTCGGTGCAAAGCCGTGATGGCTTCCCTATTTTTGACGGCGTCCAACCCGAAGGACAATGCGAAACGCTTGGCCAGTTCCTTAAATCAAATTATTTCGCTAAAAACGTCTGTCAAAATGTTTGATCTTTATTCTTCTTTTTTTTTTTTTTTTGATATATGTAATGTATTCTTAAGTGCAACACAATAAATAATCTCAGAGCAAAAAAGTTTTTTTTTCATGCTTGGGATAATATGGGTGAAGTGTAGATCCAATAGAATAGAATGACGGCTCTGAGATATTCGTATTTTTTATTGGTAATTCTTAATAGTAAAGGTACTCGTAGTTTTAAAAATCGTTTACCCAATTGCTTAATTATTAGCAATTGCCCTTTAATAATATTCGTGATGAGGTAGCATCGGTCATTGCCAAATGTCAATGTTTCGGACTCAACACACCGATTTGCCATGTAAGTTATAATTAGTGTTTCAGTTCTTGTGCGCTTTTTAATCATTAGAGACTATTTAATGAATTTCGTGAATATTTATCTATAGATTACTGCTTTGCAAGTATCGACAATGAGTAACCATAGTAATAGAAAAGAAAATCTTTCAAAGATACTAATGTTCAGGAATTGCCACAACTGTCATAAATAAACAAAAGACGTGGCGTTGGCGTGACGTCATGGTGATGCAAGTGACGATTTTATTTTTAGTTAATTCTAATGTGAATTTTTAATAGGTGTAGTTTCTAGAACCGAAAAAAATGACGTAATTCTTTAAACATCTATTGACGATTCGATCGTAATTTCGATCTTTTTCAAAATATTCTAATTCTGTATAAGTCATATTTATAAAAATTGATGACATTTGACGTTCTGTCAGCGAATGTTTCATGGCGGCTGGACTGGCGTGCAAAGCAGGTACGGATGTTTTTTGATTTATTTTTATATATATTTATATATTACTCGCTACATCAAGCAATACATACTGGCTAATTTCATTTTATTAGTTTAAAATTGAATTATATATTTTGTTAAGGCCTTGAGAATCGGTTTTGTAAATAATTGATGTTTTTTATTTCTATACATTCATAAAATTCTCTTTTTTTGGTATTGGGTTCTGTTAGTAGGATTTTAACTTTTTCAAAATTAATTGTGTTGTTGGTGCTGTCACAATGGGTATAAAGAGCTGTTTTTTTTTGTCATACTTATGCCTTATACACACTGTCGCAATTAGAGCCAGGAATTTCATATACTATATTACTTCTCTTTTCAATCCGAAATTTGGCTAAATTATAACCTTTGTGTCCTATTTGAATCTTATGTTCCTTGAAAATGGTTTGAAGTTGGTTGGTACTTTACTAGAGATATTATTTAAGTGCGTGTTTTGCTTTTTCAATTGTAATAATGATAATAATAAAGACGGATTTTTTTTCGGGCTAAGAGATGATTAGATTTATAATTTAGATAACGCGGTTTCTTTCCGATTCTGGTAAAAATTTACCAATATGCGTCTAGTCATTTTAAGAATTGTGGCCTGCCTTTAATTTTTTTTTTTTTTTTAAGTGAAAAATCTTACTGTTACATTAATTTTCGCCTACCTTGAGGGCAAAAAATTCCTCGTGCTGCCTCGAATTTCTCCCGTTGCACAGCCTTTGCACCTCGTTAAACATCATGTTCAAACTGAGACACATAGTCAGCGCGCAGTTCACTTTGTTGATCTCCCTCGCCTTGCTCAATGTGGTCTTGATTATGTCCCCGTACTCGTTGTAACACTTCACGTAATTTTTAAAAACGTCTGCAGCCGCCTTCGTAGGCATTATATTGTACACTATTAATTTACAATAGGCGGCCAGAAAGTTACGTCTCTTGTGAAGTTCCTCGATTCGGTGCTCGTCGTGTTCGGAATCCTGCTCGGGAACGAACACGTACGTCTGAACGAACTCGTTCAAGAGCAACTGGAGGTTCCTGTCAGGCGTACAAGCCAGTTCGGCCAAATACTCGTGGCCGGACTTCAACTGGTCGCTGAAGACTATCAACAGATCGCAAAGACCTATGTAGGCCTCCTCCTTGATCAGGATGTGGGGCGAAGATTTAATTAGAGTTTGAGAGGCCTCCAAGAACTCGTCTAGTTTGTCTCGAAGGTCTTGAACTTCGGCGTGTTGCAACCCTCCCGCCTCGTGGCTACTTTCGAGGTCCTTCAGGCCCCACAGCAAGTAGTAGTAGCAAGAACTGAGGCAATATTTCAGCGCCTCCGGAGGGAGTTTACTTTCGAGGTCCTAAAATTGACGTAAGGTTTTTCTTACCCGAAGAAGACCGGATGTTTACAGAGAGCACGCCCTATATACAGGATGTTATTGAAATGACATCATATAATGTGCCAAATTGTGTTACTGGACAAATTCAAACTCCAAAAAATAGTGTGATATTTCGTTTCTTAATGTGAGAGAGTAATAAAATATAAATGTGCAATGAAAGGGGCCATTAAACAGGGAGGACAATAAAAGTTTAGATAAATTTCGGTTTTTCAGACTTAAAAAACTTCAAAAATTTAACTGAGGCGGCTTTTACTTGATGAAAATCCATTTATCAAAATATATATTTTTACATGACAATTGTTTCGACAACACCGTGTCTTTATCAAATGTTATATTTATAAACTACGTGCAACTACATATACCGAAAAATTACAATAAAACCTTAATTAAAGTTGTTGTGAGAATTCAAGTTCAATAAAGCAGAGGTATTTAAATCTAACTGATCGTTAAGCAATATATTTGAATATCCCATTTTGTTAATCTCCATGGCTTCCAATAAATATAATTTTATACTTTTTCTGGCTGTATATATCTGTAAATACCAAAATTGTCGTTAAAAATGTCTTTTTCTGTGTTTAAGTGTGTAGCATAATTAGAATCTAGACTATTGTTTTTAAACGCTCTTTTATGTTCGTTAATGTGTTTCTTGAAGGATCTATCTGTTTGTCCAATATTAATTTTAGGACAAGATCCGTCACCTCAGTTCAATATCTCAAAAACCATTTACTGTTCTTCCAAAATAAATTTTTTTTATAAGTATTTATGCATGGTTCTCGGCGTGGGCATGCGCATAAGTCTCCGTTTTGACTTTACTTGATGATGCTTCAAAATGTAGATGGCGCAGATTCGTTACATTGACTTAAACTAACCAAAAATCATGACTGCAACTTAATATGTTCCTAAATTATATCCCAGACATTAGGATTTAAAAAAGGATTTAAGTCTCGGGCAACAACATTAGAAGAAGTTAGATGTCTTGGACGCATTACATTTTATTAGAATAAATTAAAAATAAAGTAGTCAAATAAAAACATTTCAAAAGCAACAATTAAAGAACAGTGAAATAGAAGCAATTTTTTTTTGAAAATTTATCGTGTGACTACATCTTGAACTTCATCAAGTTCGTACGCTTCAAATACAGTACGTACGTACAGTAAGTAAAACAACGCAAAAATAAGAGGTAGAAAAAGTTTCTATTAGTTTTATAACAAAACCATGTCTCAGATAAATAGCCTACATTGATTTTGCTCATTTGGCAACGTAAGGAAAAAACAAAACATTGATTAGGCACCATTTATAGATAGTACTCTGTCAAACTTTTAATTTCATAATTTTTTTTTTTGCAATTGTGAAGATCAAATTAATGATAAAGATAGCGACAAAATCATTTCCATAAGACTTGAGTTAACAGTGTTGGATACTGTCAGTGTAATACAAATATAAATAACACGCAAGACGTAGTTAAGACAGAAATGGACACAGAAAAAATAGTACTGTTACGACAAAGCAGTAAAAGGAAAAATTTTTGGCAATGTAATCCGCCAGTTCGAACTATAATAACGGATAATAATATCTAGAACTAGAAATAAATATGTTTTAGGATCAGTTAACTCTGGGGTAAAAAACGTTCCCAAGCGATCGAGGTGCATACCAATTAATTTTTGACAGCATATATTCAATGTCCTGATTAATGATACCACATAATTATCCCTGTAAACTAAATAATAATACTGACCTTAAAGTCCAGGAACAACATGTCCCACAAATCCCACTGGTTCAAATTGTGACAGGCGTAAAACATCGACACTTTTTTCATCGAACTAACCACGTTGAAAATTTCGTCGGCATTGGGAGTCTCCTCGCCCAACAACAAGTTACGCCAGTCGTCGATCGCTTCCTTGTATGCGGACACGATCATATCGATAATCGTCGACCTGGCAACGTCGCATTTCGTGTAGATCGAGTGCCCTTCCGTGCACAAGATTTCCAGAGTTTTGGCGAGCGTTTCCAAAACCTCGGGTTCATGATGCACCTGCACTATATATTTCAATTTGACCAGCAAAGCTTGCAGGCAACCTTCTTGCCGTCCGCTGGTATAAAGATCCAAATCGAAGTACTGCGGGATGCTTAGTAAATTCGCTAGTTTTTCGGGATCCGCCGAAAACTTATCCAACAGCGGTGGTAACGTTACGATAAAATGTTCGGTCAATTTTTGCTTATCTTCGCCGGTCTGAAAATTTCAACTCATTCATTCCGGCATATTTCAAAATTAAATTAGAACAAAAAATGTTCGGTTATTTAGTGATTTATGATAGCTGTTTCGGCAACACCGCGCCTGACTACATTCCGACCGCAGCCGACGAAAAAGACCGGCCCTGCCGCGCGAAAGTCACGTGACTCTAATAGATCCAGCAATTGGAGTCAGTCAGGCTGCGGGCCGGGAAAACACGTGTGTTTATGTATGTTACCGGCGTATTAAATTGTTTAAAACTCGGCTTTTCATTGTTTTCTTTTGTGTCAGTAATAAATGGAATGTTTTAAAAACCCGTGCGGATTCGTAGTAAAAGCCAAGTGACATAAACAGTGCAAACTGCCCGCGAAGTTGTGTCTTTGGATATCGGTGTTTGTAGGTTATACCGCCGTATTTTGAAACTCGTTTTTTAACTGTATTTTTTGTGTTATCAATAACTAAGATGTTTGAGAAAACCCGTGGACATTTGTGATAAAAACCATGTACCAGAAAGTACAAAGAACAGTGCAAACATGCCGCGATGTTGTGTTTTTGGGTGTCGGTCAAATTACAAGTCCGAAGACCCGTTTCCACTTTCAGTTTACCATCTGATCCGAATCAAAAAGAAGTTGACTAAAAAAGATATCTAATGATATTAGGCAATTAAAGAAACCAGCTGTATCTATAAAACATTTTGCAGAGAAAGATGTTATTTGGATTGACAAGTGCCTAGTTAAAGGAGAGTACAAAGAATATGCTCGCGAGAGGCCAAAATTAGCGGAAGGCGCTGTGCCAACTATTTTCGAGAATGCCCCAAAGTACTTCACCCAAACACAGTCCAATGTTGTTCGTTTAGCTGATGTCGAAGCAGAGCAAATGGAGGCAGGGATAGAAGCCAGCCTAGAGACACAAAAAAACCTTTGAAAATGCAAAAAAGGTTTTATCACTGGGAGATATTCAGCTGTTTTACAGTAACAGTAATAATAATCGGTTTAAAAGTTATAAATTTTTATATATATTAACCCTGTTTCACCCTCTCAACGGACCCCACCGGCGCGCTTATTCCCTCTAAACGAACATCTAGTAACAATAGAAACATAAGTAACAATTTTGTTTCATAAGGTAACAGACACCCTCGCCACCTCCTGCCCCTATATTTTTTTTTCTATTATATTGTCACCCAACATACATCACTATACCGAATTTCATTCAAATCGGTTAACGGGAAGTTTGTTTAAAATCGATTGTAAGATTTGACGACAATAACATCTACATTGCATTGCATGTTAAATAGTAAAAGCCATCGTTACAAAATAAAAGTATTTCAGAAATCTGTCACTAGGGGGCGCTTTACCTACAATTTTTTTTTTGTTTTCCTTGTACGTTATTTATTCGGACTGATATTGCAAAATAGAAAACAATGTTACCCTTGTTTTAAGTTGATAAGTGTTATCGTTTAGCCACAAATCGACTTTTTTATTCTCGCACTGACACTGTAAAATATCGAAATTATCGCCAAACTTGTGTATTTCTGAATTTAAATGAATGGCACAGTTAGAATCTGAACTTTTATTTTTATATTCCCTTTAACGCAAGTTAATGATCCGCATTTCAACGTCGACTCTGGATGTTTGAATGTTTAGTAATTTAGTCTTATTGTTATTTAAAAAATGTGATATGTTGTTTTCAGTTTTAAAAGCAATCTTGAAATTTTGTTGCTGCTAGGTTCTCCTATGTATTTTATTGTTTTATAAATTTTGTTTTCGGTGTTTAATATGGGATAGACAGAGTTCAGAGTTATTTGAAACTGCTTTTTAGTTATAAATTTTGTCTTAAAGCCTTTACTTGACGAGATATAACACAAAGTTACATTTTTTGAATGGAATACCATAATTAAAAAAAAAAAGTTTTCTACTAAATTTCCTATCAAAAACAGGTGTTTTTGTTAAGGAGTTAGAAAGATAGCTGCAATTTTTAATAATTACCATAGTAGGCTGTGCTCTGACTCTGACGTATGCATTTTTTTAAAAACAATTGCCATCATACGCAAGCCGAAGTGTCAAAACTGTCGTGTTCGTCAAGCTATAAAAATGTTTGAAAACTTTCAAAAGTGCGACATGATAAAATGTTATATTGAAAGTAACGATAATCGACGGACGGCGTTAAGTCTATATTTCCAGAAATATCCGGAAATAAGGTAACCCAGCTCAAAAATATTTTTGAAGTTAAAACGTCATCTACAAGAATACGGATCCTTTACGAGCCAGAAATAGAGATTTGGAAACTAACGACTCTGGGAGAAATAGAAATTAACCCGAATACTACCACGTGGGGCTATGGACAGAAATTTTTCATCAAATTTGATATTTTAGAAAAATTGCAAAATTACCAGCTTCATTTCCCTTAAGGAAGTGGCCTTCCTCGTGGGACCCCGCCCCACGGGTGCCTCCCCGCTCGCGGCCTGTTTCACGCAGCACACCATTATCTCGATGAGGCTCGTCTCTTGCCTGTTGTCCAAGGGTTCTTCATGGGGCCCGGGTTCTTCCAACAGCAGATCGGTCATGCATTCCCAATCTTTCATCATAACGTTGGACTCGATAAGCGAGTCCACCAAATAAGCGGCGTGCTCGTGCAATTCCGATTCTATGAAGAACTGCACGAGATCTCTGATGAATGGGGTGTTGGGCAAACGCCTTTTGCCCCGTTTCGTTTTGCCGGGGTCCATATCCCCGGGCTGGAAGAGCCTTTCGTTCAAAAATTCACCGGCGGCCTGTGCCACTGCTCTATGAGACGAATATACCTAAAATAGTTTTTACCAATGTGTTATTATTTAAAAAAAATTATTACAGTAAACGCAATACCAATTCATAAACGTGTTCGCAGTCTTTGTCGGTCAAAATTTCATGATGGTGTTTCAAAATCGAAATCACGAGTCGTACTGCTTGTACTGCTACGTCATACTCTTTGTCTAATGTCATTGCTACTATACGGTCTTTAAATTTGTTAGTGAAAAGCTCTAGTTTTCCTTTTAATTCTTCACTAGCGTACAGAGGCTGTAGGGCTTGTAAACACCTTAGTCTAACCTCTCCAACCTGAAAGCATTCATTAAGAAGTAGATGCAAATACGCCAGATTCACGACTGTACTTTGTCATGTAACGTCCATCCGATATATTTTAAGTATGAATCGTCTAAGAAATTTGCATGGAATTTGTGCATCCACACTCCGATTTCGGTCATTGCGATAGCTCGGATTTCTGGCAGGGTATCTCGGTATCGGTGAACAAAAACTGACTTGAACATATAAGTCAGCATATTTTTAATTTCGTCCATATTTTCCTCCAATTCTTGTCTCTTGCCGAGCAGAGCTTCTAAACGATCACTAGCTCTTTTTTCCCTAGTTTTTTGCCTTTCCGCTTCGTACTGTCTCTGAGTGTTGTCCAAGTTCACTGACACTGTTAAAGCGACATCTACTAAGGCGGTCATTAATTTCATGGCACCTAAGGTGGCAGTATGCCTAAATGCACGTACCTAGAAGTTAAATTCTTACATAACTAATGTAATATTTTGTCTTAACACTTTTAATTTTCATACGATAAAGATTGTTTTTTTTTTTTAATCTTAAAAGTACAATCACAGAGTTTCAAGCCTACTACTCACTTGAGAGTCAGATAATCCCGTTAATAAAGATATAACATTATCCATCAAAAATTGATCGTAAATGATGGTGTATTGACATTGCTTCACCAATGTCTGCACAAAATCGCAAAAATTTTGGCGGAATTTCTTCCAAGTCTGGCCGGCCATTATTAAAGGATACTCTCCAGACTCTTCGTCGAATTCTTCAGTCATTTTCCTAATAATAGCCGCGTGCTCCATTTGAGCCTGCATTTCTTGTGTAATACGACCTTTGCAGCCTGCTGCGTTGATGAAAAACTGCATGAGTTCTATGAGGGCCGCTTCCCGATTCACCTTGTAACTTTCGATCCAGTCATCGACTATGTTCGTTAAGGACACACGCCCATTTTTAATAACATTGTACAAAGACGTCTCGTCATCTGTGTCATGACGTAAATGAATGTCTGCGACGTGATTTTTGCGACCGGGAGGGCGCCCCCGACCTCTTCCTCTCCCAGTTGCCGCAGTATGTGTTGGAGAATATGATGGAGGAGGTGGCGGAGGATTTGTTTGTCCCCGTGCTTTTGATCTGGTGATTCGTCTTAGTCCGGGAGTCGGAGGTGATTCAAACATGCCATCAGACGAGGCGCCAGAAGTTCCAGCTTGTTCTTGATAAGAATCATGGTAGATACCGGATTGCATATAAGTAGTACCATAATGCTCCGGTTCTACTTGAGGCGTCATGGGGTTTTCATATTCGGGAGGCGGGTCGTCCAGACGAATCCTTTTGCCTCCGCGTCGGTGCATAGCGAATGTTATTTAATTTTTATGTTACGTTACTTAATTATAAAACCTAAACCCTTTAATGCGCGAAACAAACTAGCGTTCCTGCAAGAATCATAACAATTTTTGTTTTCGTTTACATGTACCACTGAATCAGTTTCTTCGTCTTCTTTTATAGAGCATGGGGCAAAACAGGAAAATTCGTTCATTACCGACATCCGAATCAGGGCAATTCAATTTCTTTAAATTACTGGGACTAACCAAAACTACTTTCTTCTTCTTTAACGTTTTACTTTTTGCCATGTAATGTGCGTACGTTCTTTTAACATACCACGACTCGCTTATTCTCTGATAGATTAACAAGAGTATTTGTGATTGGTTCAAAAATAGGTATTCCAGGAACTACTCAAAATTGTTTTTTTCCCAGTTTTCATATTACTAAACTTACTTATTGATATCCGTTAAAATCTAGTAGTAAGTACCCAGTGATAATTAAAATGTAGGATCTATGTACGGTTATTCTATTAATAAAAAAAAGCATTTAAGACATATTTGAGTTTGTACCCATAATTTGCATTACATTTCATTGAAAAATTTCTAGGACTAGGACAGCATAGTAAAATTGGCAAATTTTGATTACAATTTAATAATTATTTTTGAATGACATATAAAATAATAAATTAAGGCAAATATACAAAATATTTAACGTAATTTCTAAATGTTTTACTTTAAATATATGCAATTTTTAATGGATGCATATGAACCGCCAGCAACTTTAAAGGTATAAATAGCAGTCAGTGCTAGGATACCATACAATGGCAACAAAGAAGCTACATAAACTTGGTATCTATTTAAAAGAGTTAAGCAAGACGCCAACAAATGTGACCCCACAACACATGCAACTTGAACTTTATTGTCATTATCACATGCATGGAAGAATATCACACTCCAGAAGGTGTGAAGCAAAATAAAACTGAGACTTGTCGCGGAACTTGTGAGGAAAAACATCTCGGTGCCCGATTTCAGTCCCATCGTACCAGGGCCTACTGCGTCAGCGATGACGTTCACCAGAGAGAATGCTCCGCTGATGATTCCAAAGCCCAAGCCGCTGACATATGCCAGTATATGTTTGTTGTCAATTAATGTGGCGTGGTCGTCCGTTATTTTCATTAAACCGCCCTCGGCACGCCTTAGTACTTTGTAAATGATATACCTAAACACTTCTTGAAACAACACAGAGAATATCAGTCCGAAAACTAAGTCTTTACGCAAGGGCACCACCGCGAACCATAATAACGACGATAATAACAACGAGAGTAACCAAAAGAAGGCAGCCGCAATTAGTATGATTATTCTTACGGGGTCGTGGGCTATTGTGAAGGTGAACATGGCCAAAGGGGGCCCGAAAGCCACAAAGGTACAACCGAAAAATTCTACTACGGTCATAATTTCTTTAAAATAAAAACAGTGAATGTCAATGTCAAAGCACGGATAAAGTTCTTCATCTTTTAACACAAGTTATACATTGCAGTTAAGATGATTCGCTCATTATAGAAATCCGTCGTCGTAGATTTGTGTATCATAGACCATAGATTCTGTACCGCTTAAAACAGTTTTTATTGGAAGCAGGACAGGTGTTAACTTGCAATGTTTCGCAAGAAAAAATTGAAGGACTCTTTTTTAAAGGTAAACCTAAAATTTAAATTTTGTGGTGAATTTAATGTATTACTCAAGACAAAAAAAACTAATAACTCATTTTGTAAGTCTCTTCGTAATCATTTTCAGTAAAATGAACTGAGCAGACATAGCTTTTATCTGGATTAAGTTTGTCCTCTTTTCTACATCGAACTATCCACTCGTTCCGAATAGTTCGGGATACTAGATCTTTCCCTTTGGGAAAGCGATGAAAACTACATTTTTGAGAGCTTGCTTTTTCATCACAATAGCTGTTATTGTACCCATACATGGCACATCTTGTTCTAGGCATACCTAACTATTTTTTGATGTAACTTATGCCACTGAAAAAGGTAAAAGAAATGTATTTCTTACCTTATATAGCTAACTAATAACACCGCTAATAAGCAGCACGAACACAAAACTTTTAAGTCTTGTTTAAGGTTAAAAATACTGTTTTTCTCAGTTCTCGCCACTCAAGCACATACAATTTTAAAGTATTTGTTAAAGCTTAAAAACACTGTTTTGTCCAAGTTTTTTTTTACAGAAACACAATTAACACAAAAATAAGTCAACTACTGACTAGTTTAAATTATTTTAATTGTTCAACGAACACAAAATACGACGGTTTAATACGCATTCAAATGCATTGACACAATACACAAAAACTGTTAGAGGACTTCGCTTACGTCACAAGCGACCACGTGCGATCGATAATTTTGGCGAACGTATGTCTTATGGGATGGGCAATCCTATTAGGTTTACGAATCTTGGTTACAACCACTGAATTAAGACACTAACCTATAAATCAATTCAATTCAATTCAATGATGCGTTTCACAGATAGCTGTTGGGCACGACTACCAGGATCATTCGCCCATACCTATAAATCAAGTAGTCACAACCCTAAGTCTTCTTTTTAATTGAGATTGGACAAATCTTCGAGATTAATATACGACGCAACTCGAAGTGAAACTGCAAATTCTGAATATTTTTGTATAAGCGTATTTATTTAAGTGTTTTTTTGCTTTATCTGCGATTACATACTGTCTGTAACTGCGAAGGTGGAAGTAAATAACATCTAATAAATAAAGGTATTAAGCAAATTCTCTTCGTAACAACCAGTGCCATCTCTATTTCGATATTTATCAAGACTCATAATTCCTTTCCATAAAGGAAACGCGTACAAAAAGTCGTCCTTTTGTGTGGTTTTAATTTGAGAAAAAAAAACAATACCGCAAAATTGCGGTAGACAGTGAACACACAAGAACGCAAAGGGATAAAAATGTCAACAATACGGGATTTAGTGGGTGCGAGGCGCGAGCGTACAAAAATGAAGTTGGAAATGTATTAGGCCGCTAATAAATGAGGCTCATTTACCGGCACGACAATTTGTAGACGTTTAGGAGCGACACTTTTCACGCCCATAAATCTCTCTTTTAATAGTCTGGAATGTACGGCTGCCCGTGTCATCAGCTCTCGTAGTATTTCGGGTTCATCCTTTCGTGAAGAATTCCCATCGCCGTTTAATCTCGGGGGAGGGTGTTTATTTTTATATAGCGTTATAATTATAATGCGTTATTTATTGCGTCGATTGTTCGGTATTTTATAAGCGAGAGTTTTTGTTTTCGGGTTCAAATAAGGTGCCCGCTGATTATCGTGACACGATTTTTATCTTCCTTACTATGGGATAAATTTCGTGTTTGAGATAATTATTGAACTATGGATGGAAATTGGAATTTCGTTGTTTGTCACAGAGTTTTTATTTTGATTCTAGAAAAATATTTACCTACCCAACATCTCAAACATTCAAGTGGATTCGGGCATATTTTGACGAAGTGTTCTTGAATATATGCCATTTTGATTGGATCGTTTAGTTCGTATTGGTTGAAAATAATATTTGAATTGATCGCGCACGCGACATTAGAGTTGGAAATGTCTTCCACAATTTTTTTAGATTTTGCTTTCAAAAATGCAGAAGCTTAGAAGAGAACGCTGACAAAAATCAATACTCAATCCGGGTATTTCATATTTCACTTCGATATTGTACGTAAAATGTATAACCTAAAATTATTTTCATGTAGTAGGATGTTCTACACAGACCATGTGACCAATAGCGCCAATAGGAAGGGCAATGCGCCCTATCGTAGATCAATTGAGGTGAATCCACAACTAATTTAGAAACCACGCCAGTGCCAATGGAATGTTATAAAATAAAAATTCGGCTTCGCACTTTGCCGGGGTCAGGGTTGCCAGATTTGGGTTTTTAATGGCACTTGGTCTCTTTGTGATTGTCAGTTGGAGTTGATGTTAGAAATAAAATTGTTTATAACGGTTATTAAATCTCTTGAATTCGTTAGCTTAAAAATGATTTATTTGGCGTTAACGGTTGAGAAAATATGGCAACTTTCATCGACGTAGTTTGAAGGATTCATGGATTGATAATTTTTGGGACGGGCCGTAATGAAGTTATGTTATTAATTTATTCTATTAATGTTATTAACATGTTATTTAATTAATCTAGTAATAATAAAATTCAAAATACTGTGCCATAGTGGAATAATTGCAAAATTTAAATGTTAATAACGTGCTGTCGTGCTGATGACACAACAAAATGGACAAGTTAATATAAACCGGATCGAATTCGTTATATGTTTACTTTTACTTCTTCCTATTCAGTTTGTTTTTAGCTTTTCAAAAATATATGCTGTATAGATATTTCGAAAAATAAGGTTACAATACATATAAAGTTTTGGGAATATTTCTTTTCTTATTAACAGTAAGGTAAAATACCTTAATGCTTCATTGTTTAATGCAAGATTCGGTATATAAGATAAATATTTGCACAGAGTAGCTGCATTTGGATGAGTAACTAATGTAAAATAATATCACCTTGTTACTTTCGAAAAACCGATGAAATCAAAAAATAAGCATTTCAATTTTTTTTCTGTTAAAAAAAAAAGAAAAATGGATCCCTTTATTCTTGAACTGAAAGACTGTGCTTCGGATGTCAGTTGGAGATTTGGAGATGGAGATTACCCTGCGATTTAATTGTTTTTAGATAGTTCAAAGCCTGCTTGTTGAACACTGCGGGAAATAACGAAAAAACGTCACCCGTCACCGTCGTCCCGGTCCACGGATTTAAAAATTGACGGTACGTACGCATCTGTATATATCTCCTTGGGAGTTAAATGGCGTCAATTCATCACCTCGCGCGGCCGGATACACAAATACGTTCGGGAAAGGAAGACTTCCACCCCACTTTTAACAGTCGACGCGCGATCCTTTGCCGCCCTTAAACACCCTATTTACTAAACACGTATTTGGTTTAAAATCTTTCGCCTACACACGAAGATTAGCCCACATAAATCGTCCGGATAAGTGACTGTCGGCACATGTTCAAAAGGAGTTCTATATTTGCACCGCGTTCTACGTATATACAGGGTGTCGGGTTTTCGTAAATAGGGCCCTTTACAAAGGGGTTAAGGAAGTATCTGTATCTGTAATAATATGGCTTTTAGATTTTTATGAACCAATTTTTTATCATTTGTTTACTTGTCCGTTACAAATTTCATCTTTTCATTTTGGTTTCTATTTATAATGCAAATTAATTTTCTCGAAAGACCATTAAATGGGTTTTTTTCTTTGGGTATAAGTTCAGCTGTCCCCCTTTTCCCAGATCATGCGAAATGGCGGTTTTGGTTATTTTTGTTTTTTTGTTGTGATACTTAGAACCATTGGATAATCTCATTGTCAGTCTTTGAAAAATTAACAGTTTTGTCTTGTTTTTCTGTAGTGGTTTTCTTTCTTAATTGTTAAAATTCAAATAATTATTGTGGTTCAGTTAAATAAATCCCCAAAACTGTGTATTTATGTGATTTTTATCCTTGGAGAATGTTGTCAAAATACTGATTTTTCTTCAATTTTGATTAGATAGTTGTCTAGTTTATGCTTAGATGCTAGGTATAGTAGCCCTGTCTATGCTGAGGCCATTCCAGCCAGAATTTCCAAATATCTTATTTATTATTGTTATTATTACTATTATTAATATTATTATGTAAAAAAATACGAAAAAAGTCATCAATACAGAAATAAATTATATAATTAAAATTCACAAATTTTGCAGCAATAAACTCACATTTCCACATATCATATTGGCAAATGGCGTAATTAAAAAATATATCCGTAAGTTTTTTACAATTGGGATATGTGGTTTGTTGTTAAACTTTATTGCAAATTTCGCTTATATAACATTTCTTAAGTGTTCGAGCAATTGAAATTATATTTTAGCAAAATTCAAATTATTTAAAATACTTTAACATATAGGTATCACAAGCCGGCATGCAATTTTTTAAAAAATTATACCTGTGATGTATTTAATGCTGTTTATTATTTTCTTTTTTTTTTATTTTTTCATTTTTATTATTTCAAAAATAGAATTTAGTACCCACCTTCTGGTTTATAAGTTTTAAAGAGATCCTAACGGATATTAATAGTGTCACGACTACTAATTATAATTTCGAAAAACACCGTTTGTTGATAATATATGTTACTCTGAAGATCAAGATTTTTGAAATCGGGATGCTGCAGAACTTTCATCCTGGGTAAAAATACATAGGGCGTTCTATTAAAAATGAGGATTTGTCTATCCCTAAGACGATTATTACTTTCGAAAAACCCAAAAACCGTTCTCTGTTCTTGTATATTTCGACTCTCTCTAAGATTTTTGAAAATGGCGGCGATGGGACATTGCCGACCATCTTTTTTTTTTCGTTTTTCTACTGTTTTTTGGACATTGCTATGAAACAGGATAAGTGCTCGAAATTTGAAGCTATTGACTTCAAATTTGGTACAGACACGAAGCTCGGTTACCTGATCGGCAAAATTCATCAACCAAAAAACGCGGAAGATCCAGCCCTATAACTTTTATTTTTGGCATTTTTTCGATTAAGTACAGCGTTTTTCAATTATGGGCAAAAATCTTGATTAACCGTAGCCGTAAATCAAAATTCGTGAAAATATTTGTATTTGGTTTATACAGTAACAAAGGCCGCATCAAGAGTTATAATTTTTTTATTTACGGTTTTAGTCTATCGCGCACGCTTTATTTACTTACTCATATTTTTATCTCACTCTCAACCTGGGCGCGGTGACGTCATTTACCTTTGATTTCAGATAACATGTATTTTCTCGAAAGCCATTTACTTTATTGGAAAAATTCATATACCAGGAAACGTGGGAGATCCAGGGCTATAACTTTTACTTCGGTCACTTTTTAGGTTATGTACAGGGTTCGTCAATTTTAGGTAATAAAAACAAAAAGACCCCGAAAATGTTGTTTTTGTTGGTAAATTATTAGCCGTAAGTGTTTTAAAGAGTATCATAACATATATGGAGAGAGAGAGGCTGCGTCTATCATACAGGATGGGCGAGATATTTGAAAAAAATGTCAAAAGAAATGGCCGTTATTAATACAAATTTTCGTATTTACCAAAGTTTGCCGTAACATTTTATTTTTACGTACCTTCTTACGAAAGAGAGAACAATGATCGTCTATAATAAAAAAAAACACACACACACACAGAACCGAACGTTCCGCTGAAAGCCAACGTATAAAAAATAACGACGGAAATAAAGCTGTCGAAAAGTCCGCATTAATGTCCCCCGAGATCAAGCCTCTCCAATATATAGTTTCTTTATTTTCGATGATTTCGGTTTGGGGATTATATAGGACGCGTTAAACGCCTCTCAAAACAAACAACTCGTCAAAATGTTAAATGGATATTTTGAAAAGTGTCATTCCGAATCTTTGTGTTTATCAAACTCGAGCAAACACGGACAACAAACACTCATCGCCGTATGCAAACAAGTCACTTTGTAGTAAATATCATTTTAATTTTTATTTACTAGCGTTTATTACATACGGGGTGTTATTGAAATGACGTCGCTGTTCAATGCATGGAAAGTTCAGCTTTTTCGGTATCCTAAATTTATTCATGTAAACGTAGCTTTAGCGTTAGGCTATAATTTAATAGTTGCTGACGGAAGTGGACCAACATAACCTCAAAATATATTTTGTATATTTAAGTTTGTGCGGCTGAAAAATTTCAACGGGAAAAACTTAAATGAACTGAGTGATAGTGACTCTGAAAACAACAAAAAATGCAGCAGACATTTTTCGCTAGGACGGCTAAACTATTTGATGGCAAAAAGTGTGCTCGTTTTGGCTCCGCTGATAGCGAAAATCAAAGAAGTATCGTTATTATTCTTTTTTTTTTGGTAGCTACTTTATTGGACCCTAACTCTGTTTATTGCATATATATATATATATATATATATATATATATATATATATATATATATATATATATATATATATATATATATATATATAAATAAATAAATACGTTTTTTTATATTTGGATGTATTAAACGACTAATGTGGACGAAATTTTGTTGACACAAATACTGAAACGAGATTCTTTAAGCGTTTAAAATCTTATGCAGTGAAGTTGTGTGTGACGGCGCACTCTCTCACCGTTTTACGGGCATTCCCGTATAATCCCTAGGGAGACGTTAGCCGAGTCAAAAATACGTCTCGCGGCTGGCGTTAGTATAAAGAACGTTCACCCAAAAAGTGGCCATATTTTATATGGCCTAATCGTTTCGGGTTTGCGCTTTAAATAAAGCCTCTCGCGTTCACGAAGTCGCATTTCGTCACGTTTTGGGCTATTTAAAACATTCAAAATGCCCGTGGCGTATTGATTCATGACTGGCGAAATTATCGGGTAGGTGGCAAATAGATTCCGTCAAAAAAAGCACCACATCGACGGTTAAATGGTACGCGAAAACATGAGAAACATATATAAAAATCAGTTTTAACGTAAGGAACCTGTTTGTTTGACCAATTTTTTTCTATCTTGTCAAATTAAGGGCGGGGGAAGGGTCAAATATTGGTTTAGAAAAAGTTGATAACTTATGTCTTTCTAGTGCGATTTCGACGAACTTAGTTTAGTTTTAAGGAGTATTTGCAGGAGCTTCCACTGACATGTCAATATCACGATATTAATTCTTTTACGAGTCGGTAGGGGGCGCTTCACGGCAAAAACAGCTATTTTTACGATTTTCTCGAAAATTTAAAGTTAAAAACACAGAAAGTGGTTGGTTGGCTCCCAACAAAACCCCAAATAATTAAATCCTGAGCAAAGTACGGACCTGTTCGGCCATATTTCGTTCTTACAGCTTGCGCGGATCTTTCCACAATTCGTATCAGTTAAAATTGAATGAGACTGAGCTTTTACGAAGTTCATTCTGTCTATGTGCCTATATGAAATGACCTGTGCCGCATATACCTGGAATTTTGTCATGAACCAAGACGTCTACCCCGGTTTTGTTGATTTCGAAAAAGTATTCAGACGTCATAATTGCGAGACGGTCGCTCCGTGACGTCAGTGACGCAGCCTTAGCGGTATAAACAAAAACACCGGCTATAAATAGGAATAAATTTTGTGATAGCCGCCCACGTCAACCAATTTTTCTCGACCGGGGGACCCCGAAATACTGTTAAAATCGGGAATCCTAGTCAGCTGTCGCCTGTATATCTTTCTGAAGGCGACACTCTGAGCCGGCTTCCTGTCGCAAAGGTTAAAAGAAACTCTCCCGACCGGGATACAAAAATTTTCGGCTAATGTGGTTCCCGCGTTAAGTGTCAATCCGGTGATTTACTGCGCTTTATTAATATTACGCGTTCGTATATCTAAAATAAAACCACTTTTTGAATTCGAAGTTTTGGGTATCTGTTTTGTTCTATACTTAGTAAGGTCGGGGCTCTCTAGTGTTTTAGGAAGCGATTTTATTTATTTAAAATGTCTATGTTTCAGTCTAACTGCGTTTAGCTTGGAACAGATCATTGATTGGTCGACCTATATAGCTACTAGACATATAGAAGCCCTGCAGATGGTGACAGTACAGAAACTATGAAGCAATTACGTAAAAACTTTTTGAGAAGGTCCATTCAACGTGCGCATGCGCGAGATTCAAAATTTCGTTTTTAACCAATGGCAGCTCTGATGGTAAATTCTGACGTAGGACCCATAAGACGTTGCGGCTTTCAACAAACAAAATGGCCGCTGTCAGAAAAAATAGTGGTGCAGTTTCCTTTTTACTTGCTCTAACCATTTGTTTGTTACGAAGCAAGCATATATTTTTTAAATGCAACACCCCATATATTATCCTTTACATTAATTGGAAATCATTCAAGCTTTTCGAAAATATGTATTAGTATAAGGTAAGAACTAAGCTCAATTTTTTTTTAAAATTTTTTACTCTATTTGCGGAAGTTATTACTATAATTTCGGAAAAATAGGATGAAAATATATTTTTTTAACATAATAATTATTAAATTAATATAATAAATATTATGTTAATATTAATACAATACAATTAAGAAGCTTCGGGATTATATAATATTTTTTTAACGGCTCTAAAAACTAACAAATATGTTTTATGAGTTTATTTTTTAAGTAGGAGCCTAACTCTTGACATCCCCTTACTCTACATTCACTCTGAAGTTAAGGTCTTAAGTGCCGGTGTTCCTATAATGACGCCATCAGATTCTGGCACTCCTTATATAGTATAATCGTGGAACTAAAAATCTAGACTTAGAAGTATACCACAAGGTTACGGTCTTGATCCCCTGTTGCTTCATTTGTTCGTATACTTTTATATGTTATTATTTGCACTGTGTAATTCCCTTGCATATCGAAATTCGTAGCTTTATGTAGACACTGTGTGCGTTCCAAGATCTCAGACGTAATCAGGAACGGGAGTGAGTCAGTCGAAAAGAAAAGCCGGGTCTCACAACTATATATAATCGCCGCACGTAGATAGAGGCTTTATATAAATTCCTAGTGGGGTGTATAGGGAATAGTAGTGTGCAAATAGCTAGTGTTATTTTCTATTTATGTGTATTTATTATATAATTAACCGGCTTAACTTTGTTGCTACTGAAACTTTTGGGATCAGCATCGGCATGGTAGTTAGAAACGCAGTTCGAAATGAAACGTGTCTTCGACGAATTTATAGAAAGGTTTATTTTCAAGGCCATGATAAATTATTAAACACGTACAATGCAATAAATTAAACCAAAACATTATTTTCTGTCCTAACGCTACATCATCGGACGGAGTAACGAAACGGAAAGGTTGACATTGATAAAAAGACTCTTTTACATTTTACGTCCAACCCAAATGGAAATTATAAAAAAAAACTGTATTGTGCACTAGCGATACTCGTATAGGCGATTTCCTTAAGATTTACCAAAGCTTGCGAAATTCGTCTGGGTTTTAAACATTACGACGTGACATTTGCGCTGACCAAAATATAGTCATAGGTACCATCTCGTTTCTGAGAAAATAAATGTGCTTTGCTCATAGTTCCAAGTCAATGACACTGTATTCGTGGACGAGTTTTATTAACAGTATATAATTATTCCTTCGCCTAACATATACAGGGTGACAGAAGAAAGTGGAAACACTTTAACTTTTACGAAATCAATGCACGTCCTGTTTGACCGGAAACGACGGTAACATTTGATTTTTTTACACTTTTTTTTTTAATTCGAAATATACCCAAAAGGCCAGATTTAAGAAGAGCATTTGATCTCAGGGCTTAAAAAAAAAACAATATCCAAATATTTCGATACCGTTACTATATAGCCAGAGTTTTCGGGAAAAAGTGTTCACATTTTCCCAAAAGTTTCCCCTTATAGCGAAGAACCGAACAACATTACGATTCAGCGAAAATACTATAGTACATTAACATTGTTTTAATTCTCTCTTCCTCTATTTTAGTCACACCACGGATTGCATATTTGTTACCGAATATATCTAAATAAATCACATGGTTTGCAGAGGTCTATTCACATTGCCCGTTTGAAAGAAAAACAACTATTTACACTTACACTACAATAGATTAAAGTACTTTTTTATCACTTGCTGTGTCTTTGCTCCCCTCTCTCTTATCCCGCATCCTAAAATAATCAATAAATAAACCTGAAATATCTTTGCTCCGTATCCTTCGACTAGATGTGGTCTGCGCTTCATCACGGAAAGTAGTTGTGAATGAACTCTGTAGGGTAATCTTGCTCGTCTTCCTCTTTTACTGTAGTCACCACTGTAACAGTAGTTGTGGGTCAGCGGGGGGGTGAACTATGGGGACCGGGGGAGTACTCACTCTCGGGTGGCCAATAGGGGGGGTAGCGCATCGTAGTTTCTTGCCGTACGCTGCATGGACTGAAAGCCGCTGCTGAAGGATACCTGGAAAAATTCAAGAGGTCATTTTTTGGAGGCAATTAGTTTTTCGATGTTGAACTCTAACTCATAAAGTCTATTTCAGAATGGTGTAGAGTAATAAAAGCACATTATATACGCAAATGCACTACAGAGCGACTTAACAAATAGTTGAGCATCGCTGATTGGGTCATTTTATGAGTTTTTGATATTCTTATCAACTCGTCAAACTGGTGTGAAGTTCAGTGGTATAGTCAACAAATTTTGTATAATAACCATTCTCGAGATATAGCCCAAATGTAGAAAATTCGTCTTTTTGCCTATGATGAGGGCTTATAATTTTTTATCTATAATAGTTTTCTTTCCTATACATCATGATTGGAGAGAGGGCAGAGTCGGCTCCTGGGATGGACTTGTCTGGTACACGGACGGGTCCAGAATGGGAGATCTGGTCGGAGCTGGAGCGTACTGCGAGACAACGGGATCAAGCTTGTCGGTCCCTCTGGCGGAAATTTTCGCTTTATTGATGGCGGCCAGAGAGGTGCTTCGGCTCAACTACGGAAGCAGGAGAGTCTTCTTCTGCTCGGATAGTAGGGCTGCACTCATGGCGCTGAAGTCAGTGCGTACGCGCTCCTTGTTGATAAAGGAGTGCAAAGGGGTACTGAGGAGGGTGGCCGAGGAGAGAAAGGTCACGTTGGTCTGGGTTCCGGGTCACACCGGTGTCCGGGGCAATGAGGCAGCGGACGCCTTAGCCAGGGAGGGCTCCTCGCATAGGCATATAGGGCCAGAGCCCCGCTTGGGGATCGCCCCGTGTGTGAGGCGGGGAGCTCTCGAAGCCTGGGCGAGAGACCGGGCCGCGGGGGGCTGGAGAGTTGCTCCGGGAATGAGGCAGGCGAGGCTTATGATGGATGGGCCCGCCCTTCCTCGGACCAGGGAGCTGCTTAGACTGACCAGGAGGGAGTGTAGAGCACTAACAGGGGCCTACACAGGACATTGCAGGCTTAGGAGGCATCTCTGCTTGCTAGGCATTGGAGACGACCCGGAGTGTAGGTGGTGCATGGAAGGGGAGGAGACCCCGTATCATCTGCTCACCGAGTGCCCTGCCTTGACATGGGCAAGATTGGGAGTCTTCGGAACGGCCCTGATCGATCCGGACTCAGTGCACGGTATTGGGCTAAAGGAGTTGCTGACCTTCTACAGGAGGGGCGGCATTCTGGACGCCCTCTAGAGCGGCCTGGGGGCACAACGGGCCCATCTGGTGGCCTAAGTGCTTGGACGCCCGCGAGGGCGCCCCCCTTTAATACCAATACCAATACCAATACCTATACATTATTTCCTGATAGTCCTTAAACTGACTCCCAATGTTTCCGCTACTAGTTCCTGGAGACTGGCTAGCAAATTTTCATTTTATTTTTATTTCTTTAAATAATTATGTTCAAAATTCAAAATGCATCAAAAATATCTCTGCTTTTCCTGCGACATCAGTGCCTTCTGAAAGGATATTTTCGAAATCTGGCATCATTAATTCCAGAAAAAACACAATTTCACCGAAAAATGTGGATCAAATCGTCGTTTTTTTTAATGAAATATCATTTAATTTTTCAAAGAAACTTCCACAGCCTACTGTAATGCTTTTTAAAAAACTTCTGGATACCTCCTGCGTTGGTTTTTGCTTAGTCGAAATTGCTGACGTTTCGGCAATCATCCCGTTGGCTTCTTCAGAGCTTGACTGAAACTGGCTCGTATTTTACTTTGTACCTGCTTATATATTGTTTGAGGGGGGCGGAGCTAAATGAGGAGTATAAACACCGTCTCGGATGACTGATTCCCAAATTGCTGACAGGTAGAGATCTGAGTCGCGGTTAAGATTGTTAGGTTGTTATGCTATAGAAATCTATAAACACGACACATTAAAAAAAAGATGGCGTGACAAACAGTAACAAGTGTGTACTAGACGTGCCGACATAATCATTCTTCATGCTGGGTCCAAAAATGGTTGGGTGGAAGATGCGTGCTAAAATATCAGTACGAAGCTGGTCTAGCTGTGAAAAACAAGTAATAAAATCATCGCGAACGATTAGTGACGAAACTGATCATTGACAATTGACAGGTGACAGTAGTGACGATTTTTTAAGTGACTGATACTTTATTAAAAAGAATACATAAAATATTATATATATTTAACTTAACAAAAAAAAGAACCCATATCCTTTTTTTATAGGGGTTTTTACCCCTAATGATAAAATCACCCATGATTAATACTAATTTTTATTTGTGTATCTTACAGATAAGTTTGAAAATAATCATTTTAATCTTGTGTGCATGTCGATTAGGAACATTCTTCATTCTTCTTCTTGTATATTTGTGTCTTCTACATAGATTATATTCGCTGTACGTCGTAAGAATACAGATAAATATTTATTAGAATCTTACAATTAAACATTTTTTAAAGGTTCATGTTTTTTAACACTTTAAAATGTGGAGACCGTGGAATGAAGCAGATGTTCCCCTGTCAGAAGAAGATATGGAAAGCAACGCAGAATTTGAAGATGAACTGGAGATGGCAGTCGAACCTAATGACAATTTAGAAGACGAATTACATTTCCATTTGTCCTTGGATGCTGAACAAATTGTTTTGAATGTTTACAATTTTATAAGAAATTCTGAAGGGGAAGTGATATGACCAAAGTTCCGAAGTCAACTGTGAGAAAAATTGTTGCAAATGGGATAGTCAAGAGGAAACTGAGCTAGCAACACGCAGATCTAATTAGGCGTATAATCTACGATGCTTCTAAAAAAAGTACTGACTGAAGGGTGTTTGCGTACTTTTTTCAAGAAAATGGATTTTTAGTTCCAAACGTGGTTCGACACTCATGACACAGTAAAAAAAGGATAACAGGAACAAGTCACATGGAAAACGCATAACAGTTCTTCATCCTGGGTCCAAAAATGGTTGGGTGGAAGATGCCTTATTTTTGTCTGCCAAAAAACGTACAAGATTCAAGTGTGCTTAAATATTAGTTCAAAACTATTTACATGTTTCAAAAATTGCTCGACGTAAAATATAAATTCCTAGGACGGTCCAGGAATCACGCGCTCGGTTGTAAAAGCACTATATTTCTGGTTCGAGTATACCAAGTTAACAAAAAAGAGAACCCAAATCCGAACAATGGTGATTGTTCCGGGAACTTCTTGATCACTAAATAGAACACGCAATTACGCTTACGGTTGCTGAGGATATCCGGTGGAGTTGCAGGTGCTGTAGGAGGTCAGCTGCGACTGGCCGAGCCACGGAGCGTCGTATCTGGAGTAAGCTGGAGCGTAGGTCGGCGGTGTGGTAAAAATGTTCCTCGGAAGTGTCGGCAACGCGTGTTGGCCGAAAGCATCACCGAAGAAAGTTTTCGGATACGGCGCCGACGCAGCGGGACGTTTCATTCTCCTCCTGCGCTTGAAGTTCCCGTTCTCGAACATGCCCTCGTACTGAGGATCGAGCATCCAGTAATTGCCTTTCCTTTCGGCACCGCCCTCCCGCGGCACCTTGATGAAACACTCGTTCAAGCTCAGGTTGTGCCTGATCGAGTTCTGCCAGCCTTTCTTGTTGGTCTCGTAATACGAGAATTTCGAGGTTATGAAGGCGTAGATTTCCGATAGGGTGGCGCGTTTCAACGGTTTCGACTTTATAGCCATCGCGATGAGTGCCACGTAAGAGTAAGGAGGTTTGGTTTCGGTACTGCTGGGCGTGTTGTTGCTGGGGGTGGTGGAGGAGGAAGGCTGAGGTTGAGGCGACTGGCAAGAGTTGCCGCTCGACGCTCGTGAGGAATGTTTTGGGGTTTTGGGCGAGGCGTTATCGTGACTCTCGAGGACACCGGTCGGCGTTCGACTCAGGCTACAGTTCGGAGACGGCGGCAGATCTGAAACTAACATAGCATAATTTTCCAAAGGCTCTGGGACTTGGAAGTACTGGCTTATTCATTCACCTACAGAGTTAATTTTGAAAAAAAGTTTGAAGTCTCTATTGTCTGCGGCAAATGTCAGAAAAACAAACGACGATCGCAAGCTGTCAAAATGGAATGCCCTACATATTGCTAGCTCAAATCGTGGATCTCTTTTTCCTGATTTCAAAAACATATAGCCGTTTTTGAGATATTTCATTCGATTTCTGGACAACGGCCATATTGTTTTAGAAATGGTCAAGTCTGCCTTGATAGCGAACATAGTTCTACTTTTGACAATTAATCTAACCTAAAGATATGCAGGGTAACATTATTAATTAGTAAGGATTAATACACGAGGTGATAAAATCAGGGTTTTCATATAATAAATTTTATTTTTTATTTATTATTTAAAGAATCGGTAACCGGTTGGACATTATGTGGAGGTGCGCCATCTTGATGCCAAATTAAATTAAAATAATTCCTAACTGGCACATTTTCCAACAACTGTTCCATTTCTGTTGAAAGGAAATTTAAATATCGTTGGCCATTCAAGGATAATTCGTACATAATTGGTCCGACAACCATATCGTTCAACATACCACACCATACATTTGACTGACGTTCATTCTTTTCACTGCCTGCATTTTGTGTGGATTATTGGTGGATCAAAAATGTTTATTCTTCCTATTAAATAGACTTGCTGCGGCGAAAGAAGACTCATCCGTAATTATTAATTTGTTTAGAAAATTTCCATCTTCTTGAGATCTTCTATACATTCTGCCTTTTATATTCATCGGAAGGACCTTATACGGGTGTAACTTATACTTCACTTTTAAATGACATGTCAGTAAACTATATAAATAATCAAGTAAACACGCCATGTAAAACCGAATCTCGATATCTCTTTCCTAACCTAAAATACGACAAAACGAATTTAAAACCCTAAAAATTCAAACTTTGAGAGATGTTTTCCGTATACCCGTCGTTACTAATTTCTGCTTGTCATTATTTTAGGAAAATGAAAACTATTTACTGCTATCATACGCATATGGCAGTTAAAATGGCAACAGTAATTCATATTCATGCAGCACGTATGAACGTGATATCTGGGTAGGCCTTGAAACAATTTATTTTGTCAGTGCCAGTGACAGTTTCGAAATTACAATTTCTGTTTGAAAAAAAATGTTTTCCAGTTTCTTGGTTACTTTAAACATTAATACCATTGTCGAAAAAATTGTAACAGTTCTTAATATTGATGATAATTATAATACCTATCGGGATGCTGTCAACATATTAGCCCCGTTAATGTCCCCAAGGTCGTCACCAAATTAAAAAAAAAACTAGATCTGTCGAACACAATTTCAAGCAAAAAACATGCCATTCGAACACAAATAAAATCGGCCAACGTTTGTACAAGCCCCGAGAGATGGAATCGCGTTTCATGGTCTGTGCTTGGTTTCAAGGCCACAGACCATATTTTCTTTAATTTATGCTGTTGTATGTTCCAAGAATAATTATTATAGTTATTAATAATTTTGCTGCCTGGGCGTATTGTTGCTAGGGGTGGTACAGGAGAGTTACAGGAATTTTGTAGGGTTTGGGGGGAGGGCTTACCGTGATTGTCGAGGACGCTAGTCGGCGTTCGGCTCAGGCTACAGTTCGGAGATGGTGGCAGATCTGGAACTAACGTAATATAATTTTTTTAAATCTGTCGAACCTGTATGGATGAAGAAGTCGGCAGAAGGATAGGCGAAACATCAGCAAAACAATACCTGACGCAGTCGAAATCCAGAAGGAGTGCAGGGTGCAGCGCACTGATTTTCAATTTAATCGTCTAAACAATAATGCAGCCAGGAAAATATATTAACGATTAAATTACCGCAAAATAGACAAAGAATAAGTGGTAATTGAATTAAATTAATTAATGCTCCCTGAATTGTCATTGGTGTGACGATGTGAGACAAAATTTCAAGACAAATGTTTTCTGCCAGATTTTAAACAATCACATAGTGGGTGCATATTTTTTCCGCTAAAGTGTTACTAGTGAGATTTACAAGTTTTTGATTTTATTCACCATCGGCCATTAAATGCGTGACACGTTTATTGGTATCAGAATAATGGAGCTGCTTGTTACAGTGCAGCCAGGATCAACGAATATTTCGATAGAACTTTTCCGCACCCCTTCATTTTTTTTTTGTGGGATCGTTTGAAGAACTTAACCTTAATTATCTAGGAGAAATTATAAGGCATATTACGCAACACCGCATCAGTCATCTAGAAGGGCAATCATTTGTTTACAAAAAGACGGGAGGCGTATGTAGATCTCAATTTTTGAGTTATTTAGTTTCACTTGTTATTGTCAAATTAAAATCATATAAATTAGAGCACTTTAATTGCAATACTATTTTTATCCATCATAAAAGTAATTCTAGATAATAATAGATTTAAAATGGTAACTTTTGAGTGTTTAAAAATATAAGGAATATGATTTTGTTGCTCGTCATGAAATTTTTGTATTTTGCGATTCTTCACCTCTCGTTCTGTCATGACCTATACATTAGTTGGTGGAATGATGTTGGGCAGCAACCAGAACGTTTAGATGCCGGATTTTATTTATTAATATATACATTATTTGGATCATTTCCATTATTGTTAGGTATTTTTTGACTGTGGCTCAAACATATCAATTAAATGAAGTGTATTAAGAAAATAAATACTGTTTCATAACAACAGAAACAGTCTAAATACTATGAATTGGTAGAACTGATAAATGACATTTTGAGACGTCAATTTAACTTGTCCGCGGTGTACGTTTGATCGAGAACTTTATCAATTGCTTGATGAGTTTATCGCCAGTGCAAAACAAGTATAAGAGTAGACTCGAAATAAACACTGCTTTCTATGAGTGCATACTATGAGTTGCTAGGACCTGTCCTTTGACATTTTGAGACGTCAATGTAGGTCATTCCCAAACTATGTTTCGCGAATTTCATCGGGCTCGAATTTATAGCCATCGTATTGAGTGCCGCGTAAGAGTAGTTGAAGTTGCTCAACGCACGTAAAAATTCTTCCGGTGTCTTACCGTGGTTGTCAAGGATGCTGGTCGGCGTTCGGCTGAGACTGCAGTTCGGAGATGGTGGCAGATCTGGAACTAACATAATATAATTTTTCAAAGGCGGAAAAGGTGGAACCCGGAGGTGCACTTCTCGATTTCTCCTGCACTTATACACATTTAAATTAAATGAAGTCTATTGTTGTTCCATAACAACAAAAATAGTCAAACCTAACCTCTAAATACTATGAATTGGTACAACTGTCAAATGACATTTGTCCCGTAGACCCCAAATGGTGGTAAGGTATCATATTTAACCAAAACTTTCGATGCTGGCCGAGAAATAAGCAAAAGCAAAGCGTTTGCTTCTATTTTTAGACGCTTATTATATTTTCCGAAACAAAACGTTGCAATTTATTCGCACTTTCCGAAAGCGTACGCGGAATCGTATATCACTTTGATCGCTGTTTGATGCTTTCGCGAGACGTATTTATAAAATACCACATTAAAGTCTAAAAACAAACACGTAAAATGTTGAATGATCTAGGAACTACATTAGTTCGCGCGGCACGTGTGGAAACACGCCGGTACCGGCGGAAAAGTTAATTGTACCGTGATTTTTGTGAAAATAAAATTGACATTTGCAGTGCAATAAAAGTGTAACATGAAATTTACCGTTTTTTCTTAAAGCAATGATTTTCCCGTATAATTTTTACACGATATCTAAATCATAAAACATACAAAAATAAGTACAAATACAAAAGTTTCGTGGGTTTTATTGAACCCAAAGAATATTTGATCGGACGTGTAAAAAAAAAAAATGTAAAATTTTGATCGACTGATGTGATAATAATAATAATGCATGAGTTGTTCTTGCGTTGACATTTAATTCAAAGTTTCGATCACAATGTGGATCTTTACCAAGAAAATGTAGATATTATTTCTTCGACCTTGGCGTAATATGTTTGACTTAAATTCTATTGATGAAAGAGTATCTTTCTTTAATGAATATATGAACATTATATTGAATGCTAATGCTCCATCTTTAAAAAGAAACACTTACCTTGGATCACAGAAAAGTTTCTAATAAAGTTGAGAAATAAAGCCAAATTTAAGTACAAAAATAAAAACCACCTGAAAACCAGACCCGTTATAGAAAACTAACAAAGTGATCCATTGCGAGAAAAAAGCATATATAAACAATAAAGACAAAACAGTATTTTGGAAATCTCTAAAAAAATAAGTGCGGACACGTACGAGTGACATGTACGCGCGGCCTCTGAAGATGCCAAGTGATATTTTGGCGAAACGTCAGGCGAATGATCCTACTCCAGGGTCAAACAACGAACGGATGAACACCCGGATTACCACCAATACATATATATATATATATATATATATATATATATATATATATATATATATATATATATATATATATATATATATATATATATATATATATATATATATATATATATATATATATATATATATATAGGGTTTTTCACTTAAAACTCCGCACGCCAATAAGTCCAAAACGAAAAGAAATATTTAATTTATGTAAAAAGTAGTCAAAGTGTGGGGTCGAGTAGATATTTCCTAAAGTTTAAAAAATTCGGCGCCTGCAAAGAGCTGGGCGTCGCGACGCGTCGAAAAATTATTCGATTGCAGAGACTTTGGAAATACGCGCATACAAAAGTACATATTATTTAAAAAAATTTTTTGTTATTTACTCAAACTTATTTACTTTACCCGTTTCTAAGTTATACCGATTTAAAGTAAACATTTCTTGATTAATAAAAAATGTGATTAACGCTTATTTTTACAAGTATGCCATGAATGTTAGTTACTATGGCAACCATTGTTATCGTAGTTGTTTTAATTGCAATTACAAACGTAAGTTGTTATTGCTGTATCAAAAAATTGTCACATTTTGTCACAAGAAATATCCAAATTTGTTCGGTTAAAAAAAAACTAAGAATTATTATGTGAAAATGGTGCAATTTAGCAATGAGGAAAAAGTAGACATGTTACTGGTGTTTGGAGAATGCAGATGCAATTGTAGAGAAGCAAAAAGAATTTACGCACGGCGTTATCCGCATAGAAGAGTCCCCGATGCAAAAACCTTTTCAAGTTTATGTAAAAACTTAAGAGAATATGGCAGCTTCATAAAACCTAAAAGAGATAGGAACAGGACGGCTACAAATGATGAAAATACTGCTGCTGTAATTCAGCAGGTTGAAAATAACCCCAAGATATCCCTATCAGAGATAAAAGAAAATACCAGTGTTACCCTAAGTTCTTCGTGGAGAATTCTACATAGAAACTCTTTTCACCCGTACAAAAGTAAACTAGTTCATAAACTAGAACCAGGCGATTATGCTAGAAGAATGTATTCTTAGCGACATTGTCCGATTTGTATAGGCAAGATGCAAATTTTCTCTCGAAAATTTTATGGAGCGACGAAAGTCGATTTCAAAATAATGGAATCGTTAATAGACACAACTGTCGTTTTTGGTCATATTAAATGGATTCCTTACTGGACCTTACTTTTACGAAGGAACTTTAAATGCAGATCGCTATTTAAGATTTCTTCAAACTACACTTCCGGAACTATTAGAAGAAGTGCCTCTTGACACTAGAATCAATATGTGGCTACAGCAGGATGGAGCGCCTGCACATAATACCCAAATAGTAACGAGGTATTTGAACCGAGAATATCCCAATAGATGGTTTGGTACTAATGGACCGGTAAGGTGGCCGGCGAGGTCCCCGGACATTACACCACCAGATTATTTTCTTTGGGGCTACCTAAAAAACGTTATCTATGAAGAACCTATCGAAGATATGGCTGATCTCATTAACAAAATTTGTGCAGCGTGTGCCGCTATCACAAGAAGGAATCTCCTACAAGTGACCCAAGCTCATCTGTTAAAAGTTTTTGATAGTTGTGTTCGAGCAGATGGACATAATTTTGAACAAAATTTTTGAAATGTCTTATTATGTAGTTAATTGCAATAATAATTTTGGTTATTAACTTGTAGTCATTTTACTGTTTTTTCATTTATTTATCATGTTATCAGAACTAAATCGATAAAAAATAATAAATAAAATCATACTAAAATAGTTGAAATCTATTGTTTGTAATTGCACTTAAAACAACTGCGATAACAATGGTTGCCATAGTAACTAACATTCATGGCATACTTGTAAAAATAAGCGTTAATCGCATTTTTTATTAATCAAGAAATGTTTACTTTAAATCGGTATAACTTAGAAACGGGTAAAGTAAATAAGTTTGAGCAAATAACAAAAAAGTTTTTAAATAATATGTACTTTTGTATGCGCGTATTTCCAAAGTCTCTGCAATCGAATAACTTTTCGGCGCGTCGCGACGCCCAGCTCTTTGCAGGCGTCGAATTTTTTAAACTTTAGGAAATATCTACTTGACCCCACACTTTGACTACTTTTTACATAAATTAAATATTTATTTTCGTTTTGGATTTATTGGCGTGCGGAGTTTTAAGTGAAAAACCCTGTATATATATATATATATATATATATGTATATATATATATATATATATATATATATATATATATATATATATATATATATATATATATATATATATATATATATATATATATATATATATATATATATATATATATATATATATATATATATATATATAATATAAAATAATAAATCAGAGGCTAGTATTTTTTCCTCACCCTGTGCGTTGTCGAATTTGAACTTTTTAATTGCAAATATTAAAAAAACAATATAGTTTGTAAACCATTACCGTATACACCAACTCTAGCCCTGCGGCAACTTCATCTAACCCTTGCAACTTCTATTTCGCGTAACACGCACAATTACCCTATTACGTCGAACATTTTTTAGGCCTAATTAAAAGGCCGCCCGAGAAGGGAGTTAATTGAGCGACTAAATGCCGAATTTAAACCCCCGATCGGAGCGGAACAAATCTAAAGTTACCCCCGCACGTGAAATCAATCCGCACCGCCGTTATCGCGGGGCAAGAGGCTAATTAATGTTCGCGAATCTGTCCCGGAGGCGTGCTGTCATGCGATACGCCCCTATTCGTATCATCCGAGCGTTAGCTCGGAGACATGTTTCATCAGCTACCTGGTTAATTACACTGCCGATCGATAGCTTACGGTTTCGCAGATAAATCTACAGGCAAACGTCTAACGGGATCTATATATCATAAAAATTACAAAATGACGAATGGATCTATTCATTCAACTGCAAATAACACTTTCTTCAATTCGAAATTTTTTTTAGAAAAACCGCGCCAGAAAAAAATCACAAAGATTGACGGGTTTGTGCAATAATTTTGAATAGCTGAAGCAAAATGTTGGTTCGATAATTCGGTGTTTCAGAAATATCAAATTTGCTCGGCGACTTCAAAGAGAGTGCTATTAAGTTTCGAGAAGCACTCGGGGCCTTCGAAAAGGAAAAGTTCAAGAGCTACAAAATGAACGATCAAGAGCCGAGAAAGATTATTCGTAGCGTATCAAACACATCAAATTCGCTCAACATTTTAAGAATAACTTTGGGCCTTCCGAGAGAAGTTCGAGAGCCACGAAATGCACAATAAAATAAAATAGTTGTCAAGTGGGTTGGTGATTTCGGCATTGGAGGTCGCCAACATATGGTTTAAACTTCTTACGAATCTGTATACTTGGCAGTCACCACAACATACTCCAGATCCTATAGGCCAAACAGCATCATCGTCTTATCTGATTAACTGCTAAATCATTGGAAACAATATACCCAACTTCTGTTTAGCGAAAATAACCAAAGAATCTTTCAAATAGCAGAAACAGCAGAAGCTTTAGATATTTACTATTTAAAGGGTGATTTAAAAAATATCTTCTTTTTGTTGACCTTTTATTTAAATAAAATTCAAGGCAAACTTATTCTTATTAGGATAAAAAAATTCCATGGTTTTTATGAGTTTAGGTGTCAAGCTCTTTTTTTTTTTTGGTAGTGGGTGTGTCATATTTCTGCGGAGGATTATGGCGCTTAAGATTTGTAAAATGGTATTGTTGAAATTATCGCGAAAACCATGACATGAAGCGCCTCCTACCGACCCTTAAAAGAATTAATATCGCGATATTTAAAAACTAAACAATATTGTTACCCAAATTCGCCGGAATACGGCGTAAAGACCACATTGTTTTTCACGGCACGAAATATTATACAGTCGACCATGTCGAACTTCAGTTTGGCGCAAAAATGGCCCCATTCGGAGCAAAGTAAACCGATCCCCGGGATTTTTTTTCCGTACGTGGTCCACGGCAGGACGCGTACGTGCCAGCTGCGCGTCAGTTGTTTAAAATTAAACACGAGTCAACTGTATCACTTTGTTTGCAAAACATAACCACACAAAATATAACACGGAATGATAAATTGCACTTGCAAAATGTCATTGTTTTCCACGCGGGGGCGTTGTTTTTAATGGCTTCAGTGCGTGGAACCAGCCTATATTTTCATTCTTTTTATCTATTATTAACAATATTTTGTTTGATCAAAAATTTGACCGTTATAAGAAAAGTATATTCCAGACAAGCATTTTTCAATTAAGAGAATTTCAGGAATAGGAACTTTAGTGAAGATCGACTCTACGCCGAAATTAACCAGAATATCTTGTCTATTTAATGTAACGCTTTTTATTTAATCAATGAAGTGAAAAGAATTAAGTACGAAACAGTCGCTTTTCTTTGTAAAGGGTTTTAATAGAGAAGCTAGATATTTCGCTAGAGAATATGGTCCAGGGGGAAAGGCAAAACTAGACATAAAATGTTATTCGATTAAAACAAAAATTCTTGCATGTAATCAATTCTTCTGCCAACCTTTTATCTTAACCTGTCACCAATTTGGGAATCAGTCATCCGAGACTCTGCCTCATTTAGCTCCGCCCCTCTCAAACAATATAATAAAAGCAGGACTTTTTTGCCAAAGTGACGCGTGTTTCACGTCATCATACTCTTTCGATTGTCCTGGTGACCTACGACCGAAGATAAGCCGTAAACGAGGTCGCGGCCTTACTATCAATGTTGTTGATGTTTCCCTCAATACCAGCAAGCGCCGCAACGTTGTTATCTGCTTCAGGTTTCTTGTCAGTAGCTTGGTCCATTAAATTTTGTTTAGAGATTAACAGTTTCGGGTGTTTCAAATGGGACTATCACGAGTGGCATGACGGCAGTTTAAATTGAACCATGGAGAGACATTAATACAAATGTCGCATTTCAAAAGTAGTTTTTATTCATTTAAAATGACCCAAAAAAAAGCAACTTAGCTTTTTTTATTTGGTGCCAATTAACGTCAGCAATTGTTCATTTAAAATACACTGGTATTTTGATCAGTCAATAAAGAGGAAGTATCCCCGAATCATCACAGATACAGGAAATTTAACTTTTCAACACAAAAAGTTATATCTTTCAAATTTCGCACCTAAATGAACAGTTTCGTGTGAGAATGCCTTTGACTAACATAATCACAATAAAAGACAGTAAAATGGTGCGAAGTAGGCTACGGCGAAAGGAACACATAAAATGCCCCCAAAACTTTTTAAAGTAGGCTTTGATTGAGACAAGTGAATTTCTTTGCTGTTTGTCAGTATTTTGGGTGTTTTTAAAATGTTTGGGTTAGTTTTCCGATAATGTCAAGACATTGTTTTTTAACGTGGAGATACGCGACATAATATGTTCATACCCACCAACAGATGTTTATATACAGATGATGGTGATGTTTATATACGGATGATATGGCCATCGAAAAATGATTACACTGGAGCTGAAAGAAGAAATTTTAGTCCAAGTAGCTGAAAATTCGGAAATAAGGAAAACGCCGACCCAATGTTTTTAAATGTTTAAATGTTTTTACTTTTCGAGACATATTGGAGACCTAAAGATGGGAGTCAAATACATTCATTGGACGCCTAGCAGTCCAGATTTCAATTCGATTGATTTCTGTGTTCGAGGGTACTTGAAGTCCGCTAGTGCGTGAAGAAATAGTTCATACTCGAGATGAGTTAGGGTACAGGATTGAAAATGCCGCTAAATCATTTCGCAACGAGGGATTATTATTTAAAATCGGGCACTCTTTTAATAAACGTGTCTCTAAATGATCGCAGTGAATGGAAATCATTTTGACATTTATTCCCGAATGAGAATCTTTTTTTGTGTAAATTTCATTGACGTCGAAGTTTTTTGAGTTTCTCTTAAAATAAATAATATCCTATGTATTATCTACATTATTTTGATTAATGGCATAAAAAATGTACTGAAATTTTGTGTAAAAAAACTGCAAACACTGACGCGCAACAAAGTTAGGAAGTATCAGATGAAAAGCACCATACGTAGCGACTTCTACTTATGTCAGGAACTATTTAAAAAAAATCAAAAATGAAATTGCAAACCTGTATCTCGTTTAATATCAAGTTTCGTTAAATCGTAATATTTTAACCTAAAGCAACTTCTAATTTGCCCTGTACTATTACTTATTGTACACCCTGTATAAAAATTGTATGTAAATTTAGAATTTGTTGCCAGTACTCTATAATTAACTTACCGTGGGGGTGTAAAATCAATGTGGAGGACAGCGAGGACAGACCATAGTTAATGTCGGATTCGGTTTTGACCTTGTGGTAGTCCGTACTTAGTAAATTCTGCAAGGACAAAAAAAGGGTAATTAGTTAACGCAAATGAAGCAAACATTGCTCGACACTTGTCAAATACAAAAATTGTAGCTCTCGATGCGGCCTATAACACGGTTTGAACCTATTAGCCATATTTTTAACGATTTCGTCACGGGGCAAAGCTGCTGTGCCAAATATGAAGTCGATTGCTTCAAATTTCGGACACTTATCGTGTTTCATAGCAAGGTCCAAAAAATAGTCGAAAATCGTGAAAAAAGATGGATACCGGCGTCGGATCAGGGCCATTTCTTATAAGCTTATGTGCCTCGTGGAGGGTTAAAAAGGAGGGAAATTTCAATTTTATAGCTCCAACGGTTCCAAAGTTATTCAGGAAAAACCAGAAGACGAGAACGGAGAACGGACAAACAGACAAAAAAAACTTTTTTTTCGACGGTGATCATTTTTGTACCACAGGCGATCCATAGGAGCTACCGTTACCGAAATATAAAATTTTTATAGGAGCGCAGATACTTTCGAAAATTAGATTTCATCGATTTTCGAAAGTAACAAGACATGTCCGAAAAAATGTGGCAAATAACGCAAATTGACTATAGAACAGTCATTAAGTTTTTGACAAAAGAATGGTTAGCACCTAAAATTATTAAACAAAGGCTGGATGGTGTGTACGGCCAAAGTTCTCCTTCGTATTCTGCGGTGAAAGAATGGGCAAACCGTTTTCGAACGGGGCAGCAGGAGTCCCTTGAAGATGATTCAAGAACTCGTCGACCAGTGGAGGTCACAACGGAAGATATTGTAGGGATTGTGGAAGAGGTGGCATTGGGTGATCGACGTTTAAAGGTCAAAGAAATCTCAGAAATTACTAAGCTTTCTGATACAAGTGTTCGTCGAATCCTGCATGATCATTTAGGTGTGTGCAAGATGGGTTCCTAAAAACCTTTCGGCTATTCAAAAACAACGCCGTGTCGAGTGTGCGCGGTCTTTTTTGAAACTCTGTGGGTCGGAACCGAAGCCTGTGATAGAAACTATTGTGACGGCAGATGAAACCATGGTTCTCTACTATGACCCTCTATCGAAAAAAGTCAACAAAACACGATCTTTTGGGTTTGTGAAGGAATTCTTTTGATAGATTTTAAAGAAAGTAATACCACTGCCAATGGTAAATATTACGCAACATTATTACATAAATTGCGAGGCTGCATACGTGTAAAACGTCGAGGAAAACTGACCAGGGGCGTGCGTCTTTGCGCGATAATGCCTGTCCATACTGCTGGTGTTGCATAAGCTGCCGTTTTAGAGTGCGGATTCCAACAGATAAATCATCCTCCCTATAGTCCAGATGTGGCCCCAACCGACCATTATTTGTTTGGATATTAAAGGGATTGAGTTGTTAATAAAGAGATGTAATAAGTGTATTGAAGTTAAGGGGGAATACATTCAAAAATAATAAAAAATTATTACTCTACTTTGTTTCTTTCATATTCAGGCCGGGAAGTTTTGGCGCTGCCCGCGTACAAACTAGAATATAGATATCGAATAAATCTAAAGGTAAAAATAGATGAAAAGATGCTGTTAATTTAGAAGTAGAAGATAAAAAACGCTTACGTTAAAAAATACGCTAAACAAAAGGCAGTTTATTCCGCGAATTTCATTTGGTTAAAGTGCTTACTAATGTGGTTCAATAACCTGCCGACTAGACTTTTGCGATCCTACACCGGCGAGAGGTCCGACTTAATATTTACTTGGTCGCTTTTGAACCACTAAATTTCGGAAAATGGTATCATAAATTTTAAGTTGCGAAATCGTGGCTAATAATATGAATAACGTAACAATCCAAATAAGAATAAATATCATCGTTCGTTGTTCTTTATGGTACAGATACGGTGCCGCCTTAAATTGTTTTAACGTTCTTATTTTTAACCTCACGCGACCTGAGCGTCACACTCATAAAATTGTTTTGTGAAATTATCGACTTTATCATAATATTGCCAATTTACATATAAAGGCCGAAATGTCGTAAATGTACACATTTAAAATAATTACTCTTATCTAGCTGATATTAATGTAAGATTTTGAGAAACACGTAGAAAACATTGTTCAAAAAGCTCAAAAGACTCTTGGATTTATTTTACGGGTGACTAACATTTTTTTCGTTATAGTGAAAACATTCATTTCTATTGGACGCAGTCTTTGGAAAGTCGTAGAACAAGTTTTTTATTTATTATTTCTTTATAAAGTTGGAAATAATTTGAATCTGAGGTCTGGTTCACGTTAGCTGTGCGAACAGTGTTAAAGAAAACAGCGTGCTTTGTTTTGTAAATAAAATTTTTATTTGATTTTAATAATAATAAATAATAGTAATCTTTACTGTCTAATAGATTAACATCCATAACTATAACTATAATAAATAGTCAACTATATATATATAGATAACAGTTCAACCTAGGGATATACCTCTGTTTACTGTCGAAGAACTAAGAACTGCAGTTGGAAAAATAAAGGATAGCAAAGCCCCTGGACCGGACAATCTCCCTCCTGAAATTATAAAGACAATTGCGAAGGATTATATTGAGGAGTGCACAGACCTCATGAACAAAATATTGCTGAAGGGAGAATTTCCTAGAATATGGAAATTGGCGCGACTTATCTTTATAGAGAAACCAGGTCAGGATAAGAACTATAGACCCATATGCTTAATCAATGTAGCTGGTAAGCTACTGGAACATTTGCTGGTAAAACGTCTCAAGGAAGAAATTGAAAGGACTGGCGGACTGGCAGATGAACAGCATGGGTTTCGGGAAAAGAGATCAACTATCAGTGCTTTGAGAAGGATACGAGAAAAGATAGACGAAGTAAAACAGACACCGTGGGGAAGGAGGAAGTTATGTGCTCTTGTCACGGTAGACGTCGAAAATGCCTTCAACACGGCACCATGGTGTGGTATATTGGAAGAGCTTCGAAATTGTAACATAGCCCCTTATCTGTATAACATCATAGCAAGCTACTTCGAAGATAGGCGTTTAAGCATAGGTGAGGCAGCGCAAATGGACGTCACATGCGGGGTCCCGCAGGGATCAGTAATAGGTCCAACCCTATGGAATGTGTATTACGACGGTGTATTCCGAATTCCTGTTCCAAATGGATATGCTGACGATCTGGCTATCTTAGCAGAAGTAAAAGAAGCCGAGATGATGGAAACAGTAGCCAACCATGCCCTTTACAATGTCACGGAATGGATGAAATCTAAAAACCTGAAATTAGCCCCCCAAAAAACGGAGGCAGTCCTACTTGTTGCTGGAAGGAAAGTTAAAAACATTTCAGTCACAGTGGAAAACCCAACAGTTCAGAGTCAGGAAGTAGTCAGATATTTAGGTATAAAACTAGATAGAAACATGTCCATGGGGGCCCACATCAGAGCCGTAACAGAAAAGGCCAACAAGGCCTTGAACAACATCAGTCGCCTTCTACCAAAAGTGAATGGGCCTCGTGAAAGCACCAGGAGGACATTATGCTCAGTAGTGACTTCAATACTACTATATGGCGCCTCAATATGGGAGCAAGTAGTTGAAAAGAAAGTCTATAAAAGGATTCTGAGTAGTGTTCAAAGGAGGGTAGCCATAAGAGTCTCCGAAGCATACAGAACAACTTCCAATAAGGCACTTATGGGGATAGCTAGGATCCCACCTATTAATCTCCTAGTTAAGTGCAGAGCCCGTATAGAGAAAGATGGACCAGACGCTAAAACGGAAGCACAAAACGCGGTGATGTTGTGCTGGCAAGAGGAATGGGACATAGATGATGGTACAGCGGAATGGAGTAAAAAGCTAATTCCAAATATAAGACCCTGGTTTGAGAGACGACACGTTGAAGTAGATTTTTTTTTTACACAAATACTCACCGGGCACGGGTGCTTTGAAGCCTACTTCAAGCGTTTCAATCTGGCCGAAACCGAGGAGTGCCTTTATTGAATAAACGTGGATACGGTTGAACACACTCTATTTTTCTGCCCAAGATGGAACATGCAGCGGAATATAGCAGAGCAAATACTCGGTCACATAAGCCCAGACAACCTAGTAGAAAAAATGTTAGAGTCACCGACAAATTGGGACCACGTCTGCAAAATGGCGAAGCAAATACTTTCTGCCAAGAGGATAGAACGGCCAAATCTTATACAAGCTCGCTGAACCTTAGTCAATAGGAGACCGAAAAATCATGGGGAAGATCATAGGGCGCGAGAGAACATCACGCGCGTCCGGACGACACTCCATCTGAAGTAATGCTGACGCAGTTCCAGATGGAGGGCACACTGTTTTGTCGTCAAGAGAGGAAGTGTGAGTACGCTCACACTGGGTTTACACGGTCGACTGATGCCAACCCGTCGTCGCCAAGGGGACACACCATCCATCCCCAGGGTGTCTAGAGACGCCCAGAACGGGCTGAGGGAGATTCGCCTTATAACCTCTCATACAAAAAAAAAATAGTCAACTATATTCACTCCAGCAAAGTAATAGTGAAACATACAATCCATTAAAATATTTGAAATTTACGTGTAATTAATGTGGTAAACTGCAAGCGACTAAGACAAAAAACGGCAATATTATTACCGAAGTCATTAAATAATTTCATCAACTGATACGGAACACATTTAATTAAAAAAAATGGTTCTTCCAGTTACTATCTATAGGGGTAGGGGCACACCAAGAACCAATAACCTCCGAATCATTCTGCAGAGACACAGAGTCGACCACTCTATCAATTATTCGAAACAATTTCACATCATCAGCAAAGAGCAAAATTTGACACTATCAATATTAGCTACGATATCATTAATGAAAAGCAAGAATATCCACGGCCCTAAATCGCTACCCTGAGGAACACCGCAACATCTGAGCATCCTCGGTTTAGCAAGCAGCACAGTGTCGGCCGCCCGGTCAAAGACTTCGCGTCGCCGTCGTCCAAAACACAAACGTCTGGCTGCAGTCGTCCTAACGAAAGAACCGAGAATCGGCAAG